TCTGTTTTACGAGTACATAGCCATAAGTTCCTTGTTGGTTGTATGGCAAAAAATTGTTTTGTTTTGTGCATAACACCATGTTTATATTAACCTATTTGACAAAGCTTTCCATTTTTATAAACCCGGCATCAGTACCAATCAGTGGCGGACATTATTGAGAGGGGGGGGGGGTAACTGTAACAAAACTAACAATTATTTTTTTGACTATGAAAGCATGAACAAAAAAGTTTAAAAAACTAAGATTTCCAGCAACAAAAAGTGCATGTCATATGGTGGCAATGTGAAGTGTCCACCACTAGTGCTACTCACATGATATACGTATTTTCGTGCCAATGATGTGGTGGTTCAAAGACCAAAAGCAGGCAGACCCCGTCAGAGGGCAACTTGCAAATTTTTGGGCATTATGCCATTGTTGTTTTATGCCTTTTCTTCAGTGCATACCAAGAGCAGATCGCAGAAGCTTTTATGCCAACTCTCCGTACATTGTTCATCGCTCCGACATCATCCCCACTTGCCCAGATTGACGTTTCTAATGTGGCCGAACTGTTGGTTCATTTGACCTCCGACAAACATATCGTCAACTCGAGTCAGACCACAACACAGAATGAGAACAACGCTGACGACGTTCAGGTATGTAGAGAAATTCCAAATTTCTGGCACTGGTTGTCAAAAAAAACCCACCCAGTGATTGTCCAATGGTACCTACCATTAAATACATTATTTTAAAGGTAGATTTGAACTCAGGGACCAGCTCTTCAAAGAATAGATATTGCGCGCTATCCAACAAATACTATTTTTAAGCTTTAAAAAATTGGGCGTTGATTAGTCGCGACCATCCTCGTCCCCAGCAAGACATATTTTAACATCTATATTGGGAGGCCATTTGGCCCTACTAGGTAGTGGATCAGACTGGGCCCTAACCTTACCCTGAGTAACCTAAATCTTACTCTGAAGAGCCCGCCCCCACTGTAAAACGTTTAAATATGCACTGGGAATCCGAGAATCTCTACTGTATATGAACCGGAACCCATAGTGAACGCTATAAATATGTCGCTATATATATATAGAGCTCACTGCCGCTCTCTTGACCAATAATTCAGAAACGTCCATTAAAATTAACGATTGGCTAATATCCTCATTCTTGTTGATGATTGCTATAATTGATAATTTTGCAAATGACTTTTACTTGGAAAAAATATAGAAACGTTTTGTTTTTAGCCCGACTCTATCCATGGCTCGTTAGCTCTGAAGATAGCCAATGAAATTATATCTGAACCATTGTCTCCCGGTATCCGAGTGCTTTGTAAAACGTTGACACAGTTGCACTTATTGAATGCAAAGAAAAGTGTTTTAAAAGATTTGATGTTTCTTCATGAAGCTATGATAAAGGTACGTTTTGCTGGATTTCAGTGAGCGTTAAAGTGCCACTAACCCCAAAGTTGATTTTTGGTATGACATGCATGTATTGTATCTTTACAGTAAAAAACCTCGTCCTGATCAAACTTTTTCACTGCCAAACTTTCTGGATATGATGTCATTATTAATGGAATGGCAAACTTGATGGAATGGCGAATTTGATGGAATGCAAACTAATTTGCTACTCATCTAGCTTATGGCATGATATCTGGAAAGTTTTACAGTGAAAAATTCGATACAGTTGAGATTTTTTCCAAAGAACATAATTATCCATCAATTATGAGTAAACTGTTAGCTGGGAAATATGTCCTATATATCAGTTCAACTTGACTATATATTCCACAAAAACAACCTGATGACTTCAGCATTCGGTAAATATGGCTTGCCATTTTCTCACTATAACTATAGGAGGTTAAAGACTACCACTCCATAAAATATCTGGAAAAGTTCCACCAATCGTTGGTTGTGCTAACAACAGAGACCGAGACGTTAGGTAAGGACACTTTCTCACTTTCCATCCCTCCCCCAGCGCAATTATACGCAGGCTTATGACTTCATAAAATTTCGTTGTCTTTCCATCGTTTTCTAAATCCTACTTTTCTCCATGCCACTCAGTCACTCATTGTGGCGTTATACAAATGACCTGTTCATCATATTCTTCTAATAATACGTAATACTGAAGAATATCCTGATTTGTGGGGCCTCCAGTGGCCCGTCCCCCACCCCATACGACCCTTCCCAGGCAGGACCTGTAGGCAGGGCCGCCGGGAGGGGGGCAGGGGGGAATTTCCCCAGACACCCAGAACCTGGGGGTCCCTAGAAATGTTTTGTTGGGCCCCAGTCATTTTTTTGGGTGAAATATTTCCGCACAAAGGGCAAGATATTTGGGGTTTTTTGGCAAAGTACCGAAATTTCGTATGAAAAATTGAGGGAGCTTGTTGTTGGAGAAAAAAAATTTTCCGGAAAAAATTTTTGAAATAGGGTCCCCTAAAAGAAATTTGCCCCGGGCCCCCGCCAAGCTCTCGGCGGCCCTGCCGGCTGTAGTCGCCTAACATCATTTCATGCAAACGACACCAGAAAACCTCTGAACCCAGGATGCAAGAAAACGGACACCTCTCTAATACGGATACCTCTCCAATACGGACATCTCTCTTATACAGACACCTCTCCAATACGGACATCTCTCTATTATGGACATCTCTCTAATACAGACACCTCTCTATTACGGACATCTCTTTATTACAGACAGATCTCTAGTACGCATACATCCTTTAATATACAGAAAATATTTTCAGGGATAAAGTATATGCATGCGATAACTATTTCAGAAGGTGTTTGCAATTTCGTTCTGCCAGGTCCCGAGTCAGAGCAAACCAACAGTGCTTCGAGTGACAAGGATTCGACAGAAGAAACTGAAAACACATGATACTCTACAGATAAGTTTATTTAACATCGTTTGTAACTGCGTGGCGCTATGGTCCGTTACATACGGGACGTAGTTATGCATCTAGTTTCACCTTCCGGAAGACAGTGTAAATATTAAGTTTCGTCATTTTTTAGTCTGCGGTAGCGATCTCAGTAGGGAGTTTAAGATGCCGACAACAACGGGTACGGAAAACGGTTGAAAACTTGTTTTCGCATTGCTTTAACTGAGGCAGACAAAATTTACATATCCCCAGAGCATACTTTTCACCGTAGCTACCTTAAAACAGAATCAAGAACATAGCACCGAAACTGACTACGCAACGTTGCAGGTTGGAGAGTATTTTTACAAAGAAATGATGTGAAAATTAAAAGATGAAACTTACCGAACACAAAGTCATGCACATAAAACATATTTGGGATAAATTTGTTATGACAAGCATTTAGTATTTGCATACATACAACAAAAACTATTTCAAACGTAGTCGGTAGTTCGTCGTCAAGATCTTGAACTCCCTAGTCTCCTCCCCTGCGCGCGACCTTTATAGCCCTGGGATATACGGAAAAGAAATGCAAGAAAACTTGCAGTAGTTTCCAACGCGCATTCTGGTGAATTGATATATCATCTCAGTGAGCGTTTGTGTTGACATATTTTGATACAAGTAAATACAGTAAGTTACAAAGATAAAATAAGTCTATCTCTGAAGCTGCCAATCGATTTCTACCTGAGGTCACCGGGGGGGGGGGGGGGGGGGGAGATTGACACTTCGGAGAACAATGTGGATCGCAAATAACTCTACACCGTTTTCCATATATAATAATATTAAACCAAATTCATAGTGTAATGAATCTGTAATCTCCATTTCGATCTCCTGTTAAATTCAAACACCATGACATTACTTGAACATTATTATAATAACTATAATATATGTACAGTTTTTTTAATGCACATTAATATTCTGTTGCCCCATGAATTAAGTTACAGTCTATATATATACTACTGCATAATTTCATTGCAATTTTTTCCATAAAATTACAAATATGACATTCATCTATTATTGAAAACACGCTTTTGTATTTGTTCGGACCCAGGCGCTTTGGTTTGCTGCGTCACACACGCGCGGTGTTACATTCCCAAACGTTTTGCGTTTCACGCGCCGGCCACGCAGCGGCGTAGCAAACCATGGAGCCTGGGCACAAGGCTGCTTTTGAGTTCTGATTTCGTGCAAATTATCTAAAGTCCATTAGTAGGCAGAATTTTCGGCGCGGAGCGGAATTTCTCTTTGTCTTTGTCTTCACAAGACAAAGAGAAATTCCGCCTAGCGGAAAACGGCCTTAACACGTCAACACAAGTTCGTAAATGTCTAGTTGAACACGTGATAACCGGATTTCCCATGTATATTCCCATCATGTTCTCGTGCCTGTTTCTACTGCGAATACCTTTGTAGCTTATAGAATCACACAACACGAATTCGTCTTTTTTGCCTAAAACAGTTGAAATAGTATCATTATGACTTTTGCAATCCAGGCGCACTTCACAAACATGCGAAAGAGGTTTGTTTATGGATTACTTACGACAGAAAAATAAAATAATTACATCAAACCTAGAAAACAAATTTGTAGTAGGGATGTGCCGGATATTGTTTTGCCGGATACTGTTTTGCCGCATAAACCGGATGGTACGGACAATAGTCTACCAGATACCGGTCAGGGGAAAATGATAACCAGATACCAGTCAGACAATAACTGGAAACATTAAGCGAACGGTGTTACTCCCATAGTATGCCCCATTGTTTGTGCATGTGCTCTATCTCTTTATATAATTAACATATTTATTTGTGGCACATACTATACGGTAAACAGGGTCTGAAATTTGAATGTTTTCTCAATATCCAACTGGGAAACCACGATTCAAAGTTTAGTATCCCCCTGAGAATTCAGTATCCCGGCCACATCTATATTCTGTACACCATAAGTGTGATACCATGTCCCATCCAATACCTCTCACTGTTACAAATTACAATTACAATAACAACAGGATATTCAAGGCAAACTCATAGTATTCAAGGCAAACTCATAGTAAAAGCTATCAGGAGACTGTCAGAGGTGCTTAACATTTTCCTAATTTTTAAAATTTTCTTGGTATCCAGTCGGGATATAAGTCATTCACAATTTGGTATCCAAAACCAAATTTTAGTATCCTGGGTAAAATTTACCGGATATCTGTGTTGTACCGGTATCAGGATCCAGCATACCCTATTCTAGTCTGTAGCCTACGGGCTGTAATTGGTACGTGGCGCACAATGACCATCGCAAGTTAATATCCACTGGAATAAAAGATATCAAATTCTCACTACATGGAACTAAATCGTGGGCATTTGCAACGCCAATGCAACTTATTCTGAAAACCATATTATGATAATATGATAATAATATTTTATTGAGGGAATTCATTCATCCCAAGATGCTTTTCAATGAAAATCTATATTCAAACTAGAGTACACATAAGAGAGATATTAACATCCTCATGAAGAAAATCTTACCGTGCTGTAGAATGTTTTAGACTGTAATGTTAGTTCTCTTGACTTGTCCACTAGATCATCAAGTTTTTCTCCTCTTTCTAACACACTTTCGATTGTGTTGTGCTGTTGAATAAAACAATCAAATGAATGCTTATAGTCGGTCTTAAATGAAAGGGTCATGGATGCCAGCTAATATTAACGTTTATTTTCGGCTGTCATTTAAATGTATTCTGTCAATCATATACGAGCAAATATTAGTATTCACTTAGTTGCCAAGGCCTAAAAAAACCTGTGGTTCCGGTTTCATATCGTGAAAAAAGGTCGGAAATAGATTTTTTTTAAAAATTTTTTTCATAGTTTTGGCGGCTTTTTGCTTGGCGATTTGCAGTAGAGTTTCAATATCAATATTAACTAGAGGTACGTATTTCCTATGGACGAATTTAGGCAATTTGGTTAAATAATTTATAGTGTGACAACAGACGCCATTTTGGCACGCTGTATAAGCAGCCCGCAACCACCCGGAGAAAATAGGGTCGCACGGTCAATCGCGTTGAAAAAATAATAGGGTCGGCAGAAAAAAATAGGGTCGGTCGGGAACCGGAACCACAGGTATTTTTTTAGGCCCAGTATAAAGATATTTTGTCGTTTTTCAGCCATTACAGTAATAGTTCAGTTATGTTAGCTCTCTCTTTCACAGAGGCCCGAGTTTATAGGAAGTCTCCGGTGAGGGAAAAGTGACTTAGGTAATTTCAATCTTCATTCACTTCATTAACTTTGCTGTAAGTTATTTGTACATAGCTAATATGGGCAAATATAGGCATTCATATACCCTCCAAATACATATAAATGTACAGTAAGAGTGTCGTGAACCAAATTGGTCTCCAAAAGTAAACCAAGTTTTTACCAAAACTATTTTCGTCTCATCCAGTTCTGCTTGAACTTTCATCATTGGATCAGCCTGGGCAGGATTCTTATGAAAGTAAAAAACAAGACGAATTTTAAGTTCTTTCTAGGTTTTTATAATTGGACAACTTGCGCTTTAGACTATATTTTAATCTAAGAAGGAACAACGAAATATATCACTACAGCTAGAAAGAGCGTCTTGGAATTAGTAATATTACAAAGCTTGGTTGCGAAATGTTGTAAAATACGGAAAATTAGCCCTTCAAAGTTGGCAAATTTGTATACTTTTGTATTACGTGCGTGAATTGGTAACTAAATTAGTTACCAATTTCTGCACGTAATAGAAATGTATACAAATTTGCCTACTTCGCAGGGCTATATTTTCCGTATTTTACAACATTTCGCAACCAAACTTTGCAGTTTTTTCTAATTTTGATAACTTCTTTCCGAAAATATCCTTTGTTATTCCCAGATTAAAAATTTTTCTAAAGCGCAAGTCGTCCAATGGCTGCAACTTCCAACGCGATTTCTGACATGGAACCGTGTTACTCTGTGTATTACCTAAAAGGTAATACCAGGGAAATTCTGGTTTATTCTGCCGACATTTGTCATCATAATTCTTTCATTTTTCATCTCTTAAGGGTATGTGATGAAGAAAGTAGAATGTGGGACATGCTCGCATTTCTCTGCATTACTTTTCAATAGCGTGGCTTTGTCACAGCATGGATTGTAAAATTTATTTTATTATCCGTGGTCACAGATTAATGGGCTTTCTACCCGAAATCGCGTTGCAAGTTGCAGCAAAAATCGCCCTTTTAAAAATTCTCAATTTTACTCATTCTTTTTTATTCTTACTTGATATTTTTCTAAGTATTCAGCACATTTTGGAAATACGATATCCCTTTGAAAAGAAAAATGAACATATTACAAACCAAAAATTAAATTATGTAGAGAATATTAGAAAATTACAACATTTATTAAGCTTTATTAATTAACACAATTAGAATGCAATAAAACATCCCAACTACAATTGTAGTTAGTTAATTGATTAATTACTTTTCTTCCAAGCTAGACAGTTTATGCACTGGATATTCTTGAAGAAAATCATCTAAAACCTATTAAAAAATAGCACATCATTACACAATTTAAACACCAATTTTACAACACAAAGAATATGAACAGAAATATTAATGAAAGTATTTACTTTTCGAAAAATTTAAAAAGTTATTAAAACTTTGTACAAATGTGGCAGAAGTCATTTCAATGTTATAGATATTTGATATGTTGACTTGATTATATATCACTTTTTATTTACTTTTGAGCTTTTGTTTAATTAACAAGCAAGTGGGGTCAGCTGGGCTTAGTATAAATAAACAATAGATTTTAAAAAAGTTTTGCTTCTTGCCTTTGGCAATTTTTAAAAATGATCTATTTGGTAAAATCTATTTACCATTACTTTATAAAATTTCACATACTATTTTCACATGTATTAAAATATTTCACATGTGATAATGCTCATTTCATATGAAGTTTTCACATGTGAAATTTGAGTTTCATACATTCTTTCACACAAGAAAGGTTCATACAAATTATTTTCACATGTGAAATTATACAAAGAAAAAGGTTCTTTGCAGGTTAATGGACTAACTAGATGAAGTTTGACATGAATGACTGCCTACAACAATAAATAAAATATATATCATAATGATAAATTGATTATAATCCACTAACTTTTCCTAGCAATGTAAACGCCACTCTTGGTGGATACTCCGTATCTGATATTAGTACGCCTGACAAATTGTTGTCCCGAACATAAACATGGCAGACATATTCTGAAAAGACACAACTACTACTTTAACAAGTTAATCCAGCTATTAATATTTGTATTTATCATGTCCTCAATTTATCATGCCCTCAATTACTCTTTGGTTGACCTGAAAATTAGACACTATAATCAGAGATACAATTGAAAATTCCATAAATCATGAGAATTGGCAAAATCAATTGGCAACAATTTGATTGTGCATGCAGCTTTGGTGGTGCAGTTTTCAGAGCAAAGTGCCTTTCACGTCTGAGAACATGAGTTTGTTTCTAGCTGCAGATTCATGACACTGAAAAGAGGATGGGCTGGGATAATCCCAAAATAACCCTTCCACCGGTGAGCCATATAGAACATAGGAGTTAAATGGATTTTTTTTTCTGTGTTGGTGTAATGTACTCAGGTGAATATGATGCCTGTGATGTTACTCTGAGTGTATATCCACACCGGGCAAGCTTGAAAAATATGCCTGGCCATGGTGGGAATCACCTTTGGAATACTAGCCCAATGCTCTGCCAACTGAGCTACACTGGCAGGTCGGTTCGAGTATGTGATATTTCGGAACTGAGTAACATCACAAGCATCGTATTCACCCGAGTACATTACACCAACACAGAAAAAAATTCAAGATTACCAGATTACATCGATATCGAAGGAACTAGACTCAGTTCTGAAATATCACATACTCGAACCGACCTGACGGTGTAGCTCAGTTGGCAGAGCATTGGGCTAGTATTCCAAAGGTCAGAGGTTCGATTCCTACCATGGCCAGGCATATTTTTCAAGCTTGCCCGGTGTGGATATACACTCAGAGTAACATCACAAGCATCATAGTCCTGAGTTAAATATTGGCAACCTTTATTTGCAACCCGAAACATTTGCAAAGTGTCCATCACTGATCTGGAGATAGTTAAATTTTTGAAGGCAACTAGTACCTTGTTCTTTCACTGAAGCCCTTTCTTTTGTTCTTGTCCGTTCCACAATAATTTTTCCAGTAAAGTCCATAAACTCCTTCACACTGTGCAAAGACAATTTACATCAAAGAAGATGCCAATGCCTCATGTAATAGTAAATTCATCCACAATATACACTTACCAAGACCTGAATTTACTTAAAGTTAGGGGTCACATCTATATTTCCACACAAAACGTCAAATTGACCTTTTTGTTACAAACTCACCTGGCTTTGATACCCAAAACATCAATTTGACATTTTGCATGGCAACTTGTGGACATAGCCTTTGTGCATCAGTCAATTCTAGCATTACCCCCACCCCACCATGTATTTGAGTGCACAATTTCCTGGAGCAAAGAAAGCTTGCAAGTACAAATGCACTATTCTCTTTGTTCTATGAACATGCCAAAAAGACATCAAGTAAATTTCTTTAATTTTCAAGCAAGTCTTGGGTAGTGTAGTGGTAGGGCACTTGCCTCGTATACATGTGCAAACTGCAAGGATTGAGTCCCCAAGGAAACACACCCTTCCGGAAAGTACGTCACTCTGGCTATAGACTCGTTTTCGTGTATCTGACATATTCGGTAAAGGCCATATGTCTCCTTCACAAAAACAAGGCTCTATAGCCAAGGTGACATTCTTTCCAGAAGCATGTATTCCTTGAAGATTTTGTGACCTGCAAACAGGTGGCCTAGGGTTGGGAGTGGGTCGGGGTAAGGTTCCAGTTTTATTGTGCGAGACAACTGCTGGCCATGTTAATGATTAATGAACCAATCAAATTAATTCACGGACAATTAGCAAAAGCTCAACAACTCGTTGGTTTCCGCATACAATTGATACAAATAAGTGAAATAACATCTTCCTATACAAAAACTTCCTCATGTCAATAAAACATTTCATACTTTTTTTAATGAAGTCTTAGCATTTAATATCAAATAATAGTTTTATTATATTGCTATAATTATTTGGTAAAATACTCTAAAATAAAAAGACATAAAATGCAATGTTTACGAACCTGGACCTTTGAAAAAACCCGAACGACTGTAGATCGTAAGCAGACGTAAGTGTTTTTACTTTTGCTTCTTTTAGAAGTACAGAAAGAGAATATAACTTAACCATCTTGTAGTCTAGGAATATAGCAAGATATTTAAGTATTTCGATTTCAAATATTTATTTAAAAGACACGTCAGGGATGCTGTCAATTTTTATACAATGAAGTCCGCCATTTCTACTTGTGATCTCCAGGTACATCGAGGAATATAGAGTACAGTTATAGAGTACATTGTAAGATTGCCGGATATACCATATACTATGAGGAATGAAAATGGATCTTGCAGGATTGTTACACCAACTTTGGAAACAAAAGCCAAATACGGATTATACGGTTAACATTTTGAAATTTTGGTTAAGATTTTTGCAACTGTCCATCTTCTATAGTTGCCTCCAATCAAAACAATCTTATAATGCCTGTGACAGATGGTTGACACTTGACAGACGGCAGAACCAGGGGCATATGGTTTCAGGCGCGGGGGCCTCCCCCCCCCCCAAAAAAAAAGAACAAATAGACATGCATGGTTGGAAGAAAACCATGGGCATAAATCTTCACCGTGATTATAAACCACAATTCACTAAACCTCAGGTGGCTGGTTCTGCTTAATATGCCTGGAGGTGATGCAGGCATAAGCAGAGTATGACCTTCTGGTCTACAGACAACTTTTAATAAGGCGGTTTTCCATTAGGCGAAATTTTTCGACCGAATCGAAATTTTCTTTTGTCTTTCAAGCACTCAGATGGAACTAATCAGAAATCTTTTGAATTTGAACAATAGAAATTTTGGTTCGATCGAAAAATTTCGCCTATTGGAAAAAATATATTTTTCTCTATTCTGCACCTGGATTACAACCTCCATAATTCTTAACGATCTTGCGGCCGCATCATAACGATGTGACCATTATTATCAATAGCAGCTGCAGTTACCCTGGCAGTACCGGCACTTCTGCGCACTGCGCAGTACTTGGAAAGGCGGGGATAAGAGGATCAGTTATTAGGGAAAGATGGGGATGTTTGTCGTCGTTCCAGTCCCCAGATATTTTTGTCCGAGAGAGCCGCCATCTTGGTTTTTCACATCAAGAGCAAAAATGCCGGTTACTGTTTCTCCTGCAATTCGGGTAGGTTTTTGTTGTGCTTTTGAATGTATTTGTAGTTAATATAATTTTATAAAACAGCAGTTCTCTATTCAATTATGTTTTTAGTACGTTATGTTACATATTTCCATGTGTAAATTTATAATAAATATTTATTATTTCTAGTTTTCAAGATATGGTGCTCTGCTAATTGGAATTGGTTATGGTTACAAACGAAATGGTATAATTTGCAATTCATAGATTTATGAAATGAAATCATTCAAACTATTTATTTTAACTAATACAATTTTGACCATGTGCCCCACCCCCTGACCACAGAATACTACACAGAAGTCCATGGTTAGCACTATTTTCCATCCAGCAAACTGACCTGACATCATTTTCTCAAGATAGAAGAGGTGTTAAATGGCTATGTAACTAACCCAAACCCTACCCCTACTCTAACCCCTAACCTCAACCCTAACTCTAACACTAACCGAATTAATAAAAAAATCCAAAAAGAAACGACTTTACAAAATCGATAGGGCGGTTTGCTGGATGGAAAAAAGTGCTAACCGAAGTCCATCTCCATTGTTTTTTTGCGTAAGCGCTATTCGTCATGATTCGTCACTTGGCAAGTACCGTAAACAGAAGCAGTCACCCCCTGGACGTGCACCATTTCCAAGGGGGGGGGGTGTGCTTCTGTTTAAGGTACTTGCCGAGTGACGAATAGCGCTTACACAAAAAACAATGGAGATGGACTTCTGCAGTGGTGGATCCAGCAAAGTTTTTTTGGGGGGTGCTAACCAATGGCGAAACGAGCGCCGAAGGCGCAAGATTTCTAGGGTGGTCCGGGGGCATACTCCCCCTGAAAATGTTTAAAATTTGGGTCTCTGAAATGGCATTTCCAGCATTCTGAGAAAACATTCTGGAAAATTTTTAGATTCTCAAAACCCTTTAAAAATTCAGAATATTTAATATTGGCTATTCCGCTATTGTCAACTAATGATACGCAACTGAATTCCTTAACATAAGTTGGTTAGAATTAGGATAAATGTCATTTTTGCACCCCTCCATGCACCCCTGTTGACCAGAGCCTGGGGGGGAGGTGCCCCCAGGCTCTGGCTCTGGGTGATGAATGATCAATGACCCAGACTGTGCATCTGGTCAATTATGTGATTTCGGGTGTGTAAGACTAAAATTTAGGTGTGCAATCCTGTTTGAAACTTGCACTAGAGTTTTAATGTTAAAAATTGCCAATATGCAACAAATACTAGTTGTGTAGACATCAAAGTGTGCAAAATTATTGGACAAAAACGTTCTTGCATGTGCACTTGCCATACTCTGCAGTCTGGTCAATGACAGATCGGCCAGGGCGCATTCCATGTAAACTCTATGCCGAAGATACGCCAATATTAACTATAGATAGTATTGTAATTTGCCAAACTCACGCTGGATATCTTCGCACTTTTGTGCACAGAATGCACCCTGGCAGATCGGTGTACTCAAGCTGCCTTGCTTTTTCCGTGTATACCTGGGATAGGATAGAAATATTGTTTTGGCTACACCACCAGTTCGGCATACGGGACAAAGATTTTTGGAACTTTTTTTAAGCAATAGATTTTGATTGTATTTGAGTAAGGTTTCACAACGTTGATTGGCATAAATATTTGGCATATAAACAACCAACTTTCCACTATGGGTGAACCAAAGATCTACTCCAGTCTCAGAAACATGTGCCAGTGTAAGCCTGTTTTCAACATGCAGACATATTCTGCCTACGATTCACTACTTGGAAAATACAAAGCAGTGACAAAACAGTTGAAATATTTTAATGGCTTATATTTATGCCAACATGATCATGTAAATTTTTGCACACCAGTGCATCAGGTCGTTCCAGAAAAGATCCATACTCCCTCCACAGAGGGAGGGGGAGGGGAGAAAAATTGTTTCTGATAATAGTAAATGTATTAGGATATCCGAAGGGGGTAGGGGGGTTAACTTCCTATTTCCTCCGTGGGGGTGGTATTATGGATGTTTTCTGGAATGACCCATCATGTGATCAGTTCACTTGCACATGACTCTGCACCAAAATAGAGAGAATTTACAAACCATACATAGTACTAATGCCCTCGAGCATGCACAACATGTGCAAAGACAAACTATTTTTTTAATACATTCCAAGGCTTATGATTTCAAACAAAACTAGCCAACTAACAAAATCACACAGCAAATATAAAGTGATGCTAAACTTCATTTGGGCACTACATTATTCCACATCGGAAATCTTTGGTGCAACCTACAAACTTTCCACCCTTGGAGCTCGGTAGATTACACAAGTAATTAGACGAACATAGAAAAGCTTGGTGCTCAATAATATGTTTGTTGGACCAACTTTAATTTTAGTTTTATTTGATTTACTGTTGATTAAAATGTGTAATTCCCCCAACCCTTTTGAAGCAGTTTACTGTGACAAAGCCGTTGTTGACCCAGGAACAATAGTTATTTTCCATGGCCAGACTGGCAGCAGAATTGGGTATTTTTTATGAGATCTTGGGGACAATCTAGAGGCAAGGGTGCAAAACAGTTTCCAAGGGCACAAATGTGACCAACTAGGTATTAAAAAACAACTGAATTAGAGAGTTTGGGGCAAATTATAGCATGAAAATTGACTTGTAAGAAGAACAAAGCTTTTCCACAGGGTGGCCATGACTAACTCTGGATCCATGAGACAGTAATAAATTTAAATTTGTCTCATTCTTGACAATATAATAATGTAACATATATCTATAGACAAGAATGATATGAAGCTCTTCAGGTTTACTTTTTTACAATTTTTTCTGGTAGAATATTTAAAACCATATGGAGCTAAAGATAGAAAGGTACATGAGAAAAAGGCTGAAGAACAAGCTGAGTTGAAACGTTTAAGAGAGGCAGCAAATGAAGGTACTGTATTATTAAACAGAGAAAATCATCCTTCATTGCAACAGTATTATCTGTTTATTTTCATTACTCAAAATAACTACAAAATATAGTTCTTGAAATAACAATTATAGTATGTTTGTGATGTTACTCTGAGTGTGCATCCACACCGGGCAAGCTGAAAAGTTTGCCTGACCATGGTGGGAATCAAACCCGTGACCGTTTGGGATGCAATGCTCTACCAACTGAGCCACAAGGTCAAGTCAGTTCGAGTTGGTGACCTCGTAGCTCAGTTGGTAGAGCATTGGACTGATATCAAGCCGTTTTGAGTTGGTTGACCTCGTAGCTCAGTTAGTAGAGCATTGGACTAGTATCCCAAAGGTCACGGGTTCGATTGCCACTGTGGTCAGGCAAACTTTTCAGCTTGCCTGGTGTGGATGCACACTCAGAATAACATCACAAATGTCATTCACCTGAGTACATAACACCAACACACACAAAAAGTAACAATTATATTATTTACTTTTAAGTTTACAAAACCAATTACTAATTTTCTTAAATTTTGTCTTGTATGTTTTAGGGAAGAGCATTTTTGATTCCTGAATGTCTGTCATTGGTATAAAGTGTGTTGATATGGCATTGTGAAGAATGTTTATATATTATGTATTATTAATATAATGGTGCTTTTTATTTTGAATGGACTTCTGTTAGTGTCTAAAAGGTTACACTGTTATGCAGTTTTATCAACTCCAGTGGCAGTGCTGTCACTTTGTGTTACCTCTCTACCAAGTAGGCACATGTCTCTACTCATTCGATCAGCTGTATATTTTGAAACGTCTAATTTTTCGTTGGTTTAACCCTTCATGTGACGTTACTCCCTAATATACCCTGCTTTGTTATTATACTCTTTCTAATGCCAGACTGTTTTACTCGTCAAGAGTGCTGGTGCACATGCTGTTACTAATTCTTATGGTTTCTTCATAGTTTGGAAGACAGTTGCAGCCAGATGTCTGTTAACTAAATCTGCAATATTTCTTAGTCTCACAGGCATCAGTTTCATACAAGAGACCACTGACATCTGTCTGTTATGAAATCAATGAAAACCCGAGGGTTATATCCACTGTTTGGTTGTTGCAAAACCCCATCATACAGTTTTCAATTGTTTATTTGTACAGAACATCAATCTGAAATGTATTTCTTAATTTACAGTCAAAATAAGAGAACCTTCCCACTTCTGTAGTCTGTTGACATTTTCTGTAATTTGTTCTGTTCAAGTTTTGCACCTTTCGTGTGTTAATATTAAAGTTACTACAACGAAAAATGCATCCTTCGCTACAAATTTTCATAAGAAAGCTAAATATTGTTGCCATATTTTGATATTTGCTGATAATTTGGTAACCGCTACAGAAAAACAGAACAATTTACAGAAAACTACAACAGACCACAGAAGCGAAAGTGGAAAGGTTCTTGTATTTTGACTGCATTAAATCGCCCGTAAATAGGAAATTTATTTTAATGAGGTAACCATTTTCGTGTCTACAGCCTTTTCAGACTGTTAAATTTAATCTTATACTTTTACGAACTGTATTTCTGAAAATTAACGGCACGAATTGTCAAAAGATGTGTCGATTTAATCCGATACTGACTTGAAGCCGCCATCTTGAATGTACTTCTGCAGGCCCAGACCGGAAGCTGGCAAGCCTCAACGCTGATTGGCTCCTTGCAAAATTTTGCGCGAAATCCGAAAAATTTTCCCGGCAAAATCGTGTTTGTTTACATTGAATAAACACGTGGAAATCAAATGAAAGCCATATGCTTGGAAAATGTTGTTTAACTTCTTACTTTAAAGGTAAATGGCACACGTTGTTTTGTATTTTTATACTTTTTAATAAAACCTGTATAATATGAGGTTTTTATTTGTTGTAACTGGTCAGTAGAAAAAATCTACTGAGAATATATATTGAATAAATTACCTTGAGTATGTACATGTGTGTTCAAATAGCTTAAACACTGTTATGTGTATGTTTGCATCGCAAAAATCCTTTATGCCGTTACAAACAGTTAATATATAGATAAATATTTTGTATGTTTCTAAGTAAAGTACATAGTGTTATGTGTTGGGTTATTTAGAGTTCCATCTTCCTCGATGAGTTTTATATCAAGTTCTGTATCGACCATAATACAATCTGTTGTAATGTAGTTGCAATCTGTAAGTGATGTAGACTTCCTGTTTGCATTTTCATCCTTATTTTGAGTCTTGCGACGACTACCTTTAAAATCTTCAAAGGTCTTTACATCTGCAGTTGGAGAAGCAGTGGGTGTTATCAGTAAACTTAAACCTAAATCTTCGGGCACTGTTGGCGTCAGCATGTTTTTTTCTTGCTTTGATGTACTGGTGTTCTTCGGACTAACAGAAGGATGTCTTTTGCTCTAAAAATGAAGGTTTGATTTAGTGTAAAAAAATACATATGCATTTATTCTACTTTCCCTAATTTACCTTTGCACATAAAATAAAGGCAACTTACAGTATATTTTGGGGACTTCAAACTCCTTTTGTCCACACATTTATTGGAAAAAGACCTCTAAATAAATAAAAAGCGAAATTAAATGCAAGCAAAGTGACCATCTAAATACTATAAATAATTCAGGTAAACACACAATAACAACAACGTGCTTGACACCCAAATATTTGCTTAATCAATGCTTGAATTTCAAAACCTTTTAAAGCCATTTACCGCTTTCATCTTATCGAAATCCAATGCTGGTCTTGGAATATCTATTTCGGATAGCCTTCTTTTTAAACCCGAATTTGAGATATGTGAAAACGACGGATGCGAGTGACTTCGTCTAGGCATCGTGGAAGACAGGTTACCACACTCGCCGCTTTGCCCGAAACTTACAACCGTTTCCAATTGGTTGATATCCCTTTCCTCGCTTATAAGTCGTAATGGAAAGAACTTTGAGTCTTCCAGAGTAGAATTAGCTGATACAGGTCGGGGTATAGGCGATTCTGGGGGTGTAGACCAGCTGAATGTCTCCCTGCTGCCAAATTCTAACGATCTAGCACCTGAGACCTTCGTACGGTCACTTCTCTTAGGTTTGACCGGTGTCCATATAGACGAAGGCTCTGGATTCCAACTTTCTTTGCCTTCGTAGTCTTTATACGGGTCAGAAAGCGAACGGCATAATCGTTTTTTCGCGGGTGGGTAGCTGTGACATCTTGTAGTCACAAACGATGAAGTAAGCTCTCCCAGTTTGCTGCCATCTTGCATGCAAGGCTTGCATACGTCGTTTGTCGTAGTACGATTTGTCAATGTCCTCCTCTGCTGTAGTCTCGAAGTCCTTCGCACGGCGTCTAAACAGAAACACATTTAAATTAAGTAAAATTGCTTTCTGGCGTTAGCTTACTCTTTAGTAAACAGAGAGATGACAACAGAATCTGAAACGTTAGGATAATTACAAGTATGCAATGTTTCCTATCACGCGGTGTTTTGCATCTTAAAACACAGCAGTCGGTTTTAAAATAATCTATTGAATAAAAAAAAAAGAAATACTCTTACCACTATTTGATCTGTCTTTTGAGTTTTTTCTCGGTTGTTCTCCCAGAATCTGTAAAAGAAATTTAAATAAGAATAATTAAAAAACTCCTGTGGAACATAAATATCTCTTTACAATTTCATCGCGTCGATGCGGTCGACAAAATATGATGACATAAATACACTAAAAGGGACTTAGTCGAAAAAAATCGTACCGTCTCAGTTGTCAAGATCTCTTCCAATGTTTGGTCTTGAAGTTTTTCTGTAATTAGGGTTACCATTTCGAGTATAAAGCTCCATAGAATTGGCGATTAGCACAACTCTCACGTATCGCTTTCACCCGTTGGCAGCTTCGACGAAACGACAACAAAATCAGGCCTGACTTTAGCGTAAGTGAATTGGTTGCCACTGCCACGAACTACACACGCTTTTCTTCAGCTAAAGTGAAAGAAAACACGAAAATTTCAGTAGGTATATAGTAGGTACAAGCCGTACAATAAAATGGTGTATGCAACACGTTTTAAAATTAAAAATACAAATTCACATCAAACCAACCTGTGAAGAGATCCATGATGACTTCAAAATGGCGTAAATCACTTGGACTTTTAACGTTTGCCTGTGCGAACAAAAGGAAGGATACGTTAATAAAAATACGGTGACAGTATCCGTTAGTTGGCAGCACTGGGAATATAAGGTTGAATGTTTTGTATCGACGGGCACAGCAAGCTCGAAACTATTATGACCGAGGTCACGACAAACCCGAAATATAATACGGATAATTTAAGCTCGTTTACCTCCGATTTAACAGAATACCACCGCCAATGCGTTGAAATTCATGTGCTCGAAGCAGAAACGAGAAATGAAGCGATTTATTTACAAACTACGATTGTATACGTTGCTAGAAATACTGCACTTCCATATGCACCCGTGAATTTAGCCATAATCACAATAACAATCGTACACCAACGAAGCTAGCCAATCACGTTACAGTATCCAACGGATACTCGAAGCTGATTGGCTGTCATGTGCGCTTCATGACGTCCGCCGAGTTTTATCAATGGAATTTTCAATTCATTGAAAAATACAAACTTTGTACATAATCTGCGTGAATTTTTTGTGTGTTTATATACCGGATAAATAAGATAGATTTCCTTCGATTCTATCTAGTAAGTCACTTAAGGTAAAGTAAAAAATAACTAGAGATGAAAAAATATTTATATTTTTTCTTGGCGGTTCCATATGCATGTAACCTGTTGTTTATGTAAAAGAAATATTGGGTTTATAAGAAGTCATTGGATGAAAGCACGTTGAAAACGAACGCCAGAATAAATTATTTTCTTACAAGAGGAAGTAATGGTAAAAGAGCCTTTTTTAAACCAGTGCAAGTATTAATTTCATAAGTGTTTAGAAGTTTCGTGTGCTATATAAATATTCGCCCATTAGAAAGGTTGATAAAAGATAGTCCAAGGCGGAAGAAGCTAAATTTATTATCTGAAAGATTGTTTGGCTTGAGAGATTGACAGGTCATTATTCATTATATGGAGTCAAGAAAAATTAAAATATGTGTGCCAAAAATGAATAAATAGATCGGTTGGTTCTCTTTTTTTTAAAAAATACTTAAGACTACTGTGGAATATTCATTTTATGATATTTAAAACAAGCTGGGCTTTGAGAAATTTCTTGACCATTTTTTCATTTAAAACAATCGCTTACTAAATCGCTCATAATCCACTCATTAAAATATTTTGTGTAAATATGGCCTTTTGTAGCATATTAAATAAAATGCTCCCTTCGCCTTGTACGCAGAAAAAAAACACATTCCGTACTAAACCGAATGTTGCTACAAACAGCAGACGACATGTTGGGAATTAGCGTCTGTGTTTTAGTGGCGTTTTGATTCAAATGTGATTCAAATGAAAATTGAAGCCTTGTGCAACGTGTACCGCCCGCAAAGAAAAGCTCGTTTATAATTAAATGTCTTTTATAGCACGAGGAATAACATTGTTTATGCAAATATGACTTGAATGTCTCTTGTTTTCGTATGAGCCACGCTCTTGCATGAATAAACTATACATGCACATGTCATATACAATATAACATCCAATTTCTCTGTCAACCGAAGTGGGGGGAAACTTGTTCCATAATCAACTAAATTATTTCAACTTTTTTTAATTCACAATTATTTCTGGCATTTAAACAACTGTATTCTGGTTGGTTGCTTGGTATAATTAGACATAAAATATTAATTAAGCGGGAATATCTACATTACAAAATGAAAGACAGTGCCATTCATTCAAATCAGCAGCAAATACCATTTAAATGGAAAAATTGTGCCTTTTCTTATCTAAGAAACGGCTAGCTTTAAAAACTTAATTTAAAACACATTTACATATATTGCACTAGGTACATGCTATTTTGTACTCTAATGCACGCTATATACGCTTTCTCGTATATAACATAAATAATAGCATTGATTGGTGCCAATATTTTTAACAGTGAAAGCTATTCCGAATATAGTTAGGCAAGCACGTGAACATTTGTTGTCGAATGAAAGAAACAACGTTTCACGTTGTTTATTTGAACTCCGGGGTATTGCTGTAGGGCTTGTAGTCATGGGAGAATCTAGAATGAGTTGATATTGACATCTTACTTACTCAATTCAAAATCATCAATTGTCCATAATATGACTGTGTCAGACTGTGTAGAATAGTCCTACTTGAGCCTAAGATCGGGAACGCCAATTCTAGGAAGGGGGGGGGAGACGCCCCCTCCCCCGTTTATTGGCATGGGAGTATTCTCCTAGCTGCATATAATTACCCTTTGCTATCCAAATTAAAATATCAAAGTAATTCTCTCTTTTTATTAATTAAGTGAGCGGTAAGGTATTTCCTAATTTCCATGTCAAACTTGTTTAACCGGCAATGATTTTTATGACACTCCTCAACGAGGCGGCTTTATCTGGCCATGGAGAAATAAAAGCTTCTTGAAGAAAATTAGCATGTCTTCTGATGTTTATCTGGACACAAACTGAACACATTTACTATTAGCGTAGGACGAAGAAAGAAAGTGACATTAATTTTTAGTCGCTCCATAATTGAGCTGACTGACATCGTGGCGGCATAACCTATAAAATGAAGTGCCAAGTGGCCATGTAGAGCACTGACGAGTGACGTGCAGATCTTAAAATATCGGTCGGTCACCGACATTGTCCGACGTAGAGAGGGGAGCACTGGCAGTGCCACTGGACATTCTGTCTGACCTAAGTGGATCTGAGACTGAGGTTTATTATTTGTCCGACCCGAGTGTATTGGTGTCCGCCGAATTCAGTAACTTTGTCCAACTTAAATCAAAATGTACCCTAGTTCAGGCCTAGAGGCTCGTAGAGTGTTAAATGGAGAATCAGAGTAATGTATAAAAAGTGGAAATGTGTATTCAAGTGCGGGATTTTCACAGTGGGGTTTGGAAATTCATTGCCAAGATTCATATGACTTTTCCAAATTGTGTTGATAATAAATTTGTGTCTGCATTCATATACTTCTTTTTATAGCCAAACTGAACTCAAAGTCATAGGACATCACAATATATGTATATATCCGACCCACACTCAAACGTCATCGAACATTTTGTCAGACGGTTCTGGTATTTTAAGGCCTGCTGACGTGCCGTTGTTGACTGAGATCTCTTGAACCAAATGATGAGGATTATGTATATGTATACGATCATTGGAAACTTTCTGTAATAGAGAAAAGCTCGAAATTGAGAAACTATTATGAAATGAAGAAACTATTTTGGTAACATTCTCATATGGAACACAAAATTTTATGCTTGATGAAGTGCAATTCGTGTTTCTAGAGCCAGTTTCGCAAAAGTTTCCCCACAGACAGCATCTGCTAGCAGATTGTGTACAGTCTGCTGCTTCGTGCTTTCGCATAAAGAACGTTGGCCAATGCGGGCCACTTAAACGAGTGTCTCAAGTCCCAACCTACCTTGTCGCGTCATTGCTTGCAGCTTTACGCATGCGCACTAAAGCACGTTAGTCGCTGATCTCAAAGACGCTGCTCAAACAACTCGACACGAGCACCGCGCAATATCCTCATTCTTCGCACACTTTGATCTTGACCTTAAACAACCTTGCCACTGACCGTCTATCCTGGAAACATGGGCATGAGGCAGAAAAGCACATCGCCTAACGTATTCGTATCTCGTATGTGGCTATGATGCGAACCTAATAACGTATACTAAAAGCCCGCCCAACACCGCCCAATATTGGCCATTGTTGATCCAACCACATTGCATGAAAAATTTTAATAAAGTTAAACCTTATCTTCCATCATGCATGGGACCTAGTCTCGTTCGTGTTTGGCTAGTTCTTGGTTACAGTATTGTCAATTTCTCTATGTGCCAAATTAAATCTGTTAAATAAAATCGGCCTCCATTACTAGAGATAATGTTCAAACTGATCCAAGAATGTCGCAGATTATTGCCTATTGGACTTGTTTGAACTAACGAAATAGAGTCTCGTTATAATATCTCCAACGTAGTGTTTCGTGCAGTCTTGGTCGAGGTCTTGGTAGTATTCAATAATAAACTATATATATATATATATATACCGGGTGTCCCAAAAAAAAGTACTCCTGTTTGATTCGTAATAACTTCTAAAGAAGTAAAGCTTTTAAAGAGAAATAACTTCCATTAAATAGAGGAAGGACTAACTTAGATTTTGATATATTACAGTTGTATTTTACTTAAAAATTCACGGAGATATTAATGTACAAAATCGGGAGCATATTTTGGGATGTGTCTAAAATTAGCGAAAATCGGCATATCAAATATTAACTCCAGCGTATGTTTGCTTAATGACATATCAGGCTAACTTGTATTTCGGCGAATTATCGTTAGGGTTTGTAAGGGATATGGCGTAGATTTAGACAGTTTACATGTAAGTCTTAGCTCATTGTTTCCTGAAATATGAACGTTGGAAATTATGCAAGTATTTAATAACAGATCTTTACAAACTTAAATGTACATGAAAGACTGACCATGGAAGGCAGGCGCTTAAATTTTTCTTATTCTTAAATAGCCTAATTTTTTATGTTTTTAATGGGTTCAAACAGACTGAGTTGATTATTTCTCGGTTAGAGCAGGATGGATATTATTCTTTATTGAAGGAAATAATATTGCTTTTTGCAAATACACATCACCGTATCAACGCTACTATTTTGTTACGTTTTGTTCCAAAAATGTTGCATGTCTCTGGGGAGTTGCTTAATTGTTATGTCTTATTGAGTTATATGGTTTGATTGTGTTTCATATAATTCTCAGTTTACTCTGAGCTTGCCAAGATTAAGAAAAGGCAAAAGAGTTTGGGTGTTCTTAACAAGATTTCAGAACGTTGCAGAAGTTAGAAGAGCTTCACAATTCCATTGTGACAGCATGCCCTAATTCAGAACTACGAACGATCCATGACGATCCTTCGTGATGCAGTGGTCTCATGAAATAAGGAAACGTATTCGTGCTAGGAACACACGCGAATTTCGGACGAATAAATCTTGCTTGTATTTTGTAGATATAATAATACTTTGTTTCATAATAAACAATTTGTCAAGTGTCATTTATTTACTGGTAATAGTGCATGTTTCAGTCGGGCAAATCTTGATTAATATTTGATACGCCGTTTTTTGCATATTTCAGACACATCCAGAAATATGCTCCCGATTTTAAAGATTAATATCTCCGTGAATTTTTAAGTAAAATACAACTGTAATATATCAAAATCTAAGTTAGTCCTTCCTCTATTTGATGCAAGTTATTTCTCTTTAAAAGCTTTACTTGTTTAGAAGTTATTACGAATCAAACCGGAGTACTTTTTTTTGGGACACCCGGTATATATATATATATATATATATATATATATAATATATATATATATATATAATATATATATATATATATATATATATATATATATATATATATATATATATATATATATATATATATATATATATATATATATATATATATATCCCTTTAGGTCATATTGAGCGCTCTACAGGATGAGCCATGCCGCTTACGCATTGCGCACGCTCACTGCTTGCAGTTTGAGCGCTCTGGCATGGTTTTGATGTCCCACAATCGTGAGGCATCAAACTGATCAAAGGTAACTGTAAATAGCAGTTACTTTCATCCTGCTCATCAGGCCCATAAGGCCGACCATAGATATAGGAGACTAGATTGCTAACGCATACCTAGCGCAGGCGGGGCCTACATGATAAATCCAAGATGGCGGTACAAGAGGGCAAAAAGACTATAGATTCTATTACGAAAATCAAGATTTTTGCATTTTTTTCCGTCGCATTGTTTTGAAACTTGTTCGATCAAATTTTATGGTAAAGAGAAACGTACCGCGAAGATTTTGAGCATATATATGATTGAATTGGATGAAAACTCGCAAAATTATCCAGCGATAAAAGTTCGTGTGAAATGGTCAGTTGGAGCGTTTTATTGCCAGAAATACTGTGCTATGTTAACATCTAGCCTTGTGAATGGTGTTTTATACTTGCATCTTTCATCATCATCTGCTCTGTCCTCATAATTATGAAAAATGAACTGTTATGTACCTCCCCCCCTCCTTGCTTGTTAGAGAAGTAAACTGATGAGAGCACTGGATAAGGGTCTATCATCTATGGTCTGTTATAATTTGCTTTCTATGCAAATAGTTAGAGTTACATATATAGTACTATATCAGTACTATACACGAACTTTTATCGCTGGATAATTTTGCGAGTTTTCATCCAATTCAATCATAAATATGCTCAAAATCTTCGCGGTAAGTTTCTCTTTACCATAAAATTTGACTGAATAAGTTTCAAAACAATGCGACGGCAAAAAATGCAAAAATCTTCATTTTCGTAATAGAATCTATAGTCTTTTTGCCCTCTTGTACCGCCATCTTGGATTTATCATGTAGGCCCCGCCTGCGCTAGGTATGCGTTAGCAATCTAGATCTCCTATATCTATGGTTCCCACTCGCTAATAAACGCTTAAATAACAACAATAACTTTCATCATTTGAATAGTTTAAAAATGTATTTGGGATAGGTTTAACTTAATGTTTAAGTTCCCTGTTTAAGAAATAGAAAACATACGAATCTTCTCATTTCATGGCCATGGGAATATCCTGCATGAGTCTGCAATCACGGTTTCAATTTTTGAATTGCAGAATAATTAGATGCACTATCTAGTGTACATAAAATATCTATGGGAAGCATGCAGTAAGAACAGCTATCTATATATAAGATTGCGTGATTGCAGCCAATTCAAATGCACCGCGTTTGATCTGGACTTTACTACTTACTATATGAGTACACCTGCCTCTAAAGTAAACGGATTGCCAAATCCGATGTTGAGAATCTTTTTTCCACCACAAGTATATGAACTACGAAAAACTGTTGCATTGAGGAAGACTCTTCTAAGTGATTAAAAGGATATCTGCGGGAAATATTATGTACTTGTGATAACAAAATGCAAATTATAGATTGATCAATCCTTCCCGACAACTTTCTTTTGACGGTTCGTTCTCCGGAAATGTATTGGAAAGATGTAGCTATATAATCCTACAGCATTCTTTATAAGATTTCTCACACAATTCCGAAAAATATCATAAGGAAATATATACCATTATATATTCTAACTTTGACCGATTGAACCTTTCCCCTTATAACTAAAATTTTTATCTAGAACTAAAAATTTCATCACAGCTTGAAAGAGCATCACAAAATTAGTAATATTCCAAAGTTTCGTTGCGAAATATTGTAAAATGCGGATAATATAGCCTTGCGAAGTTTGCCGTTTTTCAGTCATTTTGTATTACGCATGGGAAATTGACAGCCCAATCGGGTGTTGGGACATCAATTTCCCGTTTGTAATATACAAAATGACTGAAAACTGCAAATTTCGCAGGGCTATATTATCCGCATTTTACAACATTTCTCAACGAAACTTTGGAATATTACTAATTTTGTGATGCTCTTTTAAGCTGTGATGAAATTTTTGTCTAGACTTGTCTAGATCAAAATTGTAGTTATAAGGGGAAAGCTCCATTAAACGAAGAGAAAATTACTTGTGTCTTTCCTGTTGACTTTCCTCCTGTTTATTTTGGGGATAGCTATTTCTTCCCATTTCAATTCCAGCCCCTTCTTTTAGCTATTTTGTCCCTCGCCCGTTTTAGACAGAGCTAATTAACTCATAGACATATAACATACAAAGAGTACACAAATTCGGAACATGGGATTGGTTTCACGCGGCGTCTCGCGTGTAAACTCGAAGTCGAAAGATTTGAGTATTGTTCTTCGCCATTTTTGGCACTTTTTGTACTACAGTTCATATTCTTGTTATGTCTTTGTCATTACGTTATCTTCAATGTTGTCTGGTTATTTGTGTCCTGTTAAAGAAGAATTCAACCGTTGCCGTGACAACGGAGCCTTAAAAAGTCGGTATTGTTTGTCAGTCGGGAACGCAAGCAAGCGCTCTTCAAGTAGTCATCAATCAGCTCTGACTTTCACCATTCTTTTCTGACACTCGCGAGAATAAAAGGCGAGGTCTAGCATGGCATTGTAATGCTATATTGTCAAAAGAAAAGCGGGAATTTACATGATATTATCTGATCGAACGATGAAAGAGAGAAATGAATAAGATTAAATCAAATCTCGACTATCTGTTTTAAAACATCGTGTGAAATATTGTCGGTCCTCTTGACAAAACCGCAATCTCACGCGCTGAAATCGGCAGGGGTGTACGCAGACATTAGTTGTGTACAATGCCAATGGCCGTCAATGTTTGTTTCTATCAGTTCTTTCTATGCATTTGAGCGGAGTTTTAACAATATCAATCAACCGCATGCATATATATATACATATATAGATAAAGTATAATTTTTCGGCGCTGCATGCCACTTGATATTTGAAATAGGGTATTTTCCTGACAATATTTGATGTAATATTTTGATATAGTTTTCCTATTTAAATTTCAGAGCTATATATCAATATACAGAATATACCAGAATGTATAATGAATCTCGTGATCTCATGGAGAAAATGATTTTCAAGGACAACTGTCAGTGTCCTTGAAGTTATATAGATATTCCAGCAAGATAGCACCGATCTAAATTTTTCCTCTGACTCTGTCTATAGTTTTCTATTTTATGGGAAAACTTTGAAGTACTTGACCATCTATCAGATCTATGATCCGACGTTGCTCCCACTGTAACGATATTTCTAGATTGCGGTGCTGGCTCACGCGTCAACGGAAGTGGATTGGATTTCCAAATATCTCTTGCACTGAGTAGGTTATATATGTTATTCACTATGGGAAATGTTTATGTATAATTTTAAAAAACATGAGACAACGTTCGTAAACATTTCTACTTTAACAAACATGAAATGAAAGGGAGATGAATTGTCCACCTACTGGAGCGCAGAGCTGGGTTGCTGTGGTCCTGTCAGTTATTGTTGCTCGCGTATTGTTATATTATTCCACCTTTATTCCACCTTCAGTATTCTTACAAAATACATGTAGCAGCTTTCGACTCTATTTTAAGTATCACCAGAAATGATGTTAAGTTATTCCTGCCTGTTGCGATCCACTGAAGAATCACATCGCCTTTTTAATGTTTTAGATAGATACTATTAGTAAGTAAGTGAGTAAGTGGGAGGGGGGGGGGGGGGGACTCAACCTCAGAAAGTCTCGTTGAAGGGCGCCTCTACATGGCAGCCATGCACCTTATGACTCATCTCAGATCACGGAGCACAGCCACGGTGTAAGAAGGCTCAGTTAGGGGCTAATCCTAACCCACCCTGTCAACTTTCCTTGTGGGAGGAAAACAGAGTACCCGGAGAAAACCCACGACTTTCAGTAGAGCGTTGACTGACTCTCTTCATATAACTTAAGTCGACGTGTCATGTGTTCGCAGCGAGAATCGAACTGAAGCCCATGGGTGGTTCTGCATGTAATATGTAGAATCGACATAAAACCATTAGCTTGACATATTCCAGGTTTTCAAGAGTTGAGAATAAACTATAGTCTATAAGATCTCATCAGACTCGTGTATGGCGAACCGGTGCATGTCATATAAATGTACCAGTATATACAAATTCCATCTTAGCGATGAATGTAGGTCTCTCTGTCTCTAGTAACACTATTAGTCACATATTGACACAAATTGTAGTTAATATAATGTACTTATAGTCCCATACACTGTACAAGTAGTATAAATTGAACCATATATAGCTCTAGCTGTTGGTATGACTCCATCAACATTACCTCTTTCAGTACACTCAATTATATAATCTCCCTGTATAAGTAATAAACACCAAAACAGTTCATATACTATCGCCTTGGGGGCAGCAACGCAGTATGTAATATATATGTTATGAATGTCAGTATCAATGAAACAATACTGTGTACTTGAGGTAAATACAGTGACTCGGTGTAGTGATCTTCCGGCCTGTTCAATTCGGCTTTTCCAAATATTTTATAGAAAACTGCCTCGACCTTTAATTAATACTAAAACTTCTGTAGATTGGGAACTTTTGTAATGTATATGTTGAAATGTATAACCATACAGGGTTGGTATGGGAATGATTGGTGTGGGATCGACAGAGAATCTTAATTAATTTAACCACGGGTAACTAATGGTATAGTTGCATGGTCTGTTCAATTCATCTAGCAGATACTATATATAAACTCTGAGTACTCTGTCATTGTACTCAATGAAAATTTTTTACAGTTAATCAGTTTCCCAGAACCCCATGATGTCTATAAGAGCTGGTAAGACAAATTGTCTTTGTCTGTGTAATACTATCTCGGTTTGTTCATATTACTCCAATCATGCATTTATCATGTAAAGTATGTTACTTTGAAGTTTAATCTGGTAAACACGTTTGTACACGCCCCATTTTAGTGAATTCCATCACACCGCCCTTCCTTAAACGTCCATAAATACCAATTCACACAGGTGATTTTGGGTTATGTTCATCGTATGGTTTGGGCCTCTCAAGTTCAATCACCTTGCCACAACCCGCGCACCCGAAAATATATATATACATGAACTTGCGGTTTATAGAGCTCGACAACTGGCCTCTGTACTTCAGTTGGTTAGAGCGCTGCACTGGAATCGCAGGTTCGATTCCAGGCAGAGGACCTATAGTGTTGCATTTTCCGCAACCGTTCCTGGTTAGGTCTTAAATTGTGTATATAATATGCTCACTTGGATTATCTACCAAACCCAGCAGTCGCAAAATTAAAAAATAGCATATTGTCATCCATCACATTTATGTCTGTATGTGGTATGCTCTTTATAAACGTTTTTAAAAAAAAATTGACACAGATGATTGCCACATATGATTTTGTGCTAAAAATTCAGTGTTAACTGGAACATGGAAAATGCCATATAGTTTTCCCATGCAATTTTCAATTGTTTACATTCGATAACAACTTGTTATATGTTATAAAAAAAGGTGTGTTCCATTCTATCATGCATAACGTGCATAATTGGTTCAATTTTACAACTGACTGATGTGCATAATTGGTTCAATTTTACAACTGATAAACTGACGAGTATCTCTTATTTTTTCAAAGGCAAAAAGCCTACGTTATATTGCCTGTAATGAACAGGCGAGCTAGCTATTGTTTGGAACTGAATAGTGTGGGTAGACCTGCGGTATACAGTGGATTTAGTGCATGGTGCGAAAATCTTTAAAATTTTTGTGCACCATCAAATGTGTAAACCCTAAAAATTTGCCATTATTTTTAGTAGAGAAATGTTTCCAGTGGTTTTACTTCCTAAATCCATATATACTACTAATCCAATGCCATGATTTGCGAACCTGTTCGGCACTAATGTGGATCTTATAGTCCAGGCTATCATCAAAAGACGAGCAGTATAGAGCCGATGTCCATTTCCCAGTCGACCAATTGGGGAATTGCCCTTACTTCCTTAGTTATACACTAGATTTTGTCCAGTACCTTATTAAGTTCAGACCTTTCAATGATCCACTGCGTGCCTTGAAGTGCGTGGAAATTATTTTCCATACATGCACGGAGCTTCGATGGCAATAGAAATATGTTCTCACGCTCAGATCGTCATAACAATCACTAGTCCTTATAATTTATACACACCAAGCCGTCTCATAGGTGCCACAGTAATTTTAGTGAAACTACAGGGGCCCTACTTAAATTGAGAGAATTTTTCAAATGTTTGCTGAAAATAATTGTAACATTATATATTTGATGTTTGTGACTTTCAATCCATATAACACTATAAAAAGGTTTGATATAACTGTCATCAAAAATATATATAAAGACTGCATGGTATTTGAGCCCAAAAATTTAAAAGTCATGCATGCATATTTTATAATCACTGTCAAGTACTGACCACGGTAAAAAAAACACGGAACAAATTAGAACACGCCATGCAGTAATTATACTTCAAAAATAGTTCTAGGTAAATATCAGCCGGATGCAAATGATAATTACAGAGACACAGAGGTGGAATATACTTTTAATCTAGAGCTTGAAATGTCCCCTGAAACAATTCATGACTGCCAACCATCTCATCAACTCTTGTTTGACCGGGTGTATCATCAACTGCCATCATGGTTTTTGGGTTTAACCCGTAAACCAATGCAGCATTTCGTCAATTGGGCACATAGCGTTAAATAACTTCAATAAACACTCACAATCCGTTGATTGAGAAGTTGACATAGGTATATATGCAGTAATTAATGTACTTACTTTTTATATGTTCACTATATTATTTGCATGTGCCTGTTGTGGAACAGCCAACGTTTAAGCATAGTACTACAATTGACTCTTGCATGTCTCGGGGATCTTAAATTTGAAGTAGCAAAACGTAGTCACATGTTGCAAAAATGCGAATGCAAATGTGAAATGTATACTATGGAAACTTAAAGTTCCGCTTTTGGAAAAAGTCTTCCTATTTGTTTACATATATTTCCCCATATCAATCTTCGTGCCGCTATAGGGTCCCTTGAAACGTACATGCATATGAGATGAAGATATGATCGGAATTGGGTGTGTATACTGCTTGTTTGGTGTCATATGATAGATTCCCTTATATAACACTGTCTATATATAAGGCTATATATAAAATATATATATAGATTACAGTATATAATATTAATATTTATATATTTTGATTATTGTCGTATCCAGATGGATACATTTTTCTTATGATTTATATTATGAAATACTAGCTGATATCTATCTGGATAGGCCAACTTGTTTTATTAGAGAGGTTAAGATACCCCGGTTTCGGTGCACGTGTACGGGTAGCATGATTTTGGTTAGCAATATTTTCGTCGATGGGCTGTACCTTTACTCGTAATTAAGGTGCACATTTTTCGCATTATATCATTATATATTGCAAGAAAACAGAAAAAGTATGATCGAATTGCAGACATCAGTAAAACAAGATGACACTACTCGTACCCGTACACCGAAACCGGGGTATCTTAACTTCTCTATTATCGGGTATTTTTAGCCTGGTTTACACCATCAAAGTTTCTGTGATCACAGTAGAGATTTTGCATAAAATTCTACGTTTTGAAGGATTTGTAAGAAATGTTTGAGGGAACTGAATTAACGTTAAACACTGAGTCAGTTCAGTTCCTCGAACATTTCTTACAAATCTTTCAAAACTTCTGTGATCATGCACAGAAATTTTGATAGTGTCACTGTTATACCATATATTATTACAGATTTTGTTAACTGGGTGTATACAGTCTATACAAATATACTGACAATATATAATATTTATTGCCGCCAGCTAGCACTAGGGCACAGAATACTATACAGAAGTCCATCTCCATTGTTTTTTGCCGTAGGCGCTATTCGTCATGATTCCAGCCTGAGCTCCACCTTTGAATTTACTATGTGAGTAAATTGTTAAACACGTCCGAATTTATCAATATGAGAAATTCGCGGCACCTAACCCGGCAACCCTAACCCTGCAACCCTAACCCTAATCTAACTTTCCAAACCTTTTTTTGAAAATCTAACTTTTTTTTTAACTTTTTTTTACTTTTGTTAACTTTTTACTTCCCACCCCGGCGCGACCAGCCTCAAGTTATATAGTGCTATTTAGTTTGAGCCATGCAGAACATATATTATACCATGCATGCAAACGTTAGCTTTATAGTGCAGATATGTCACTTACCATGCATATATAACTACAGATATTACCATATTCCTATATATATTAATCAATTAATATGAAGTGCAAGAAACAATTATAAAAATTATATATATTGGAGGGATATTAGAGTATAATTGACCATGCCCATGTGTTGCGTTTTTGTTTCAATTGTGTCACATGCGATAATGTATAGTTTTTCAACGTTCTGCAACACGTGTTTGTTATGAGGAATTTTAATTAAGTAGCCTACCATTCTAATTTGACCTTTCTAATTTCAGGACAACGGACTATATCTATACCTCACTTTTCTTATTCTGACGTATATTGTTTATACCATTATTTTAAAGTTTGGGGCAAACATAAACTGCATATGATCGTCCTCTAATTAATTTCGTGATTAATTTATTCTTTAGACATGTTTAAAACCTTCATTATGCGTATCATGTAAAAACAGATATAACAGAATAGATGGTTTGAAAGCCACACAGTTCCATGATAATCAGTACATGTGTATAAATATAAAAAGATATTAACATACGCGATATTTTGGGGAAACAGATAAGGGACCGCTCATTATTTATTGTACAGGGGGGGGGACTGAGGAGAAACTCTACAGTTATAAAATTTTTTCGTTGCCCCCCCTCTTAAGACAAGTAAAATTTTCAAAGCCCCCCCCCCACAGGCAAAACAAGAACATAAATTCCCCCCCCCCCTCTAGCTCTTTATCTTTATTTAAAGAAACAAAAACTCTAGCTGTTTATTTTAGAGAAAGAAAAATAGGTAATGGGGACCAATAGACATTCCCATTATAGACTAATTTTTTATCTTAGCAAAAAAAGTATATTCCCGGGAAGGGCATACTAAAATTACTAAAATTCCAAAGTTTGGTTGCAAAATGTTGTAAAATATGTAGAAAATATAGCCTTCCAAAGTTTGCAAATTTTGTATTCTTTTGTATAATTGCAATTTTCGCATGCAATACAAAAGTGTACAAAATTTGCAAACTTTGCAAGGCTATATTTTCCGTATTTTGCAACAATTCGCAACCAAACTTTGCAATAATTTACTTATCTTAGTATGCTCTTTCTAGCTGTGGTGATTTATTTGCATCAAGGCCGGATTTTCAGGGTGTGGAGAGGTGCGCACCTCCCCAGAGATCGTTTTGCACCTCCCCTGAGAATTTTTCCACCTCTCTTGAAAGGTCATGCACTTCCCCTTGGGAAAGTTTCAATGATGGAACAAAGTGAAAATGTGATGGTTGCTTAGGATCTACACTTTGTGACGTAAAAAAGTTTTCTCTGTAAAATTGAAACAGTGATAGCCATGTCAAGCACCCTTTTAATGCAATGTTTTGAAAGAAACAGTGTAGCAATTGTAATGAAGGGCAAGATTGGAGTCATACATTCATAATTCATTAATACACTGGTACATGTTATGTACACTACATGCATACCTCACCTCGTTGATATTGGCCTGTTCTACAATAAGACCTAACTTTCCATGGGAGTTGTGAGCTAGACCGCTGCACCTCTCCTAAAATTTTTGTCCACCTCCCCCACTATTTTCACCAAAATCCGGCCTTGATTTGCATCTCTTTGCCTAGTTCTAAAATTAGTCTATAATGGGAATTGTCTATTTACATGAACATGAGAGACTTTTTATTTGACTTCCATTTATGAATATTAAAGTCTATAAATATTGTTATTTGTTGTTAAGTTGTTTTGTGATACATTTTTAAAACTACTAATGTTTTTTCAAACTGGTAAATATTTTCAAAGCCCCCCCTTCTTTCGTATCTCTGTATTTTTTCAAAGCCCCCCCTTTCAGGTTTTGAAAAATTTAAAGGCCCCCAGTTTCTCCTCAATCCCCCCCTGTACAATAAATAATGAGCGGTCCCTAAGGCTCGATTTCACAAATGTTAATTGACACATATATAGGAGCAAGCACATTTAACAAATCTCTTATTTGTTTGCTACCGAGCCACTACATGAAAATAATTAACATTATATTTCTCAATTTGATTGTAGCTTGACTGTTTTGTGAAACCCACCCCGTATGTTGAAATGTTGAACTCAACATGATAACAGGCAGTCTCAGTTTTATCAAGTGTGGTCTGGATAATCATGAACATATGTTTGGTCAAGGCTATCCAGTCTCAAACCTTACGCTGACCTATATAGTATAAGTATAGTGGATGAACAGAAAATTTCACCATTCACTCACTGATGCGCGCGCATGATTATGCAGGTGCTCAATTGCATGGCAGTTATTTTGCAGTTATCAGTTTGAGATAATATATATTTAAAAATATTAATTCTTTTCATGCTTTGTTCGTGCCAGTGAACAGATCACATTTGGTTGTATGTTTTTGCAAGCTTTTTCATAGTCAAGTTTTCATTTATCTTAGCTATAACCATGGGCGACGTTTTTGGCCATTCCCCCCCCCCGTCGCCAAAAAATTTCGGTCAGTGTACCATTTTAGGGGTCAAAAAAATTTTCCGGACAACCAAAATTTTTCGGAGCATAACACAAATTTTCCAAAAAAACAAAAAATTGGCCACAAAATTTACTTAATTTTAGACAAAATTTACAGAATTTCTCCCATTTTTTTTTATTGCAAACCAAAATTGCCCGACTGTTGATCGAATATTGCCCGACTGCCCAACAAACTGGGGGGGCTACTACCGCCCCCCCCCCGCCCGGTACGCCTATGGCTATAACACTTAATAACAGTGCATCTTAAGGAGGCTCCCTACAGTTCCTGCGGGATGTTCGCGGGACAAGTACGTGAACTATCCCACGCAACTGCATGATCAAAACAAAACAAAAATTGACCATGCTTTTTTTAAAAATAAAGCTATTTCTGAAAGGTTTCTAATGGATAAAAGCGTTGAATAATACTTCGTTTTGAGTGCCAAATCACTTGCGAGTCTATACAGCAATTCTACATATGATACGAATATCACTAGACCAAAAAATAGCTACGAAACAATATTTTAAAATTTTTTTATACACTGTCAACTGACTCAACTGTAAAACGTTTGCAAAATTGCATACAAACGTTTAAAAAGTTGTTTACTTCTCAAGAAAACGTTCACGTTTTTAGTCGTGTTTCTACAAGATTAAAGTGATTATATGTAAACAGAAAAATATTCCAGTTTCATAGCCTAATTGTTCATTTTTAGCAAAAAGTACAAAACCAAACATGAAACAAAAAAACACGTCCACCTGTTAATAGGCTGTTACAGCTCACAGATTGAGTAAACGGCAGGATTCAATTAGCTTCAACCTTGTTTTCATCGATTTAATCCTTCACAATAATCCTTGGCTGTCCGTAGCACTCAAATAAATCGAAAAGTTGACAAAAACAAAACAGTAAAAACAATATTGCGGGTCGATTTTGCTGAATGAAAACTCGTTCTGCGCCCGCGTACAATCTTTTACTAGTCAGCGACGCTTTTCAATAGGGGAATTTCTCGAGTTACACGAGGCTATTTTCTAACTTTATTTGCATTTTACTCATTAGTTTCATCGGTGACCTATCTTTTAATTTTGACCACGAATTTATTTTGCGGTAAATTTTATAAATTTCAAATATTAAAAAAATCTGTAGTGTGGAAATTTCGCAGTAAATTTTTCGCTTTTAAAAAAATCACACACTACAGAATTTTTTTAAACTTTCACCACAGTTGCAGAGCATCATTCCTTATTGATATATGAAATAAAAAAGATAGGTCACCGACATCGTTTTTGAGATAGCGGCACATTTATGGGTTAAATTGGAAGCCTTTATGCTGTCGTCATGTTGCCATGGGAACATTGACATCGTCGAAATCTAGTTCGAAATATTCCTTAGGTGACCAATATTGCCACCAAGTCGAAAAGAATTCGCGTTCTGCACGAATAAGCCTGTTTTACGGAATTATTGCTTAAACAAAAATAACTGTAGGGAGCCACCTTAAGGGCGATTCACACTGCACAACTTTTGCCTGAAACTGTCGCATGCAACTTGCTTACAACTCGAGTTGTACTGTGTAAATGAAGCATACAACTCCCCTACGACAACTTTGAACTCAATTTAAGAGATTGACTATGATATAAACTCGGCCATCTGCTTTTATCTACGACTATATATGTCCGCAACCTGACAGAGGTGAGACCCTGTGAAACAAGGTTGCTATAAACTGTAATATTTTGTTTAATTTGAAAATATTGTAAAGTTTAATTTGAAAATATTTTTCACCTGAATTATCTCCTACCATTGTAAAGAAGCAGGCGGGCCCACCGGGGCATCACCCGGTAGCCCGGTGGGCTAATCCGCCCCTGTTACTGGGTATGCCCGACCTCTGTACAACCGGACCCATATTTGCCGAATTCATATCAAAATCGAAACGGGTTTCAGTTTGTGAGGTCAAAAAGAAGCTGGTATTGAGGATTTTCGGTCCATATTAATTCATATCTTTTCTATTTATCAAGTGCGGCATTTGTGAGACCAGATACATAGTTTCGTAGCTTTTCAGGCATTTTTACACAGTTAAAAATGGGTGGTCTCTGCTTGTTTTTTACGTACTGAATAACGGTTAATACTGCGGTATGTAACCACAGAGAGATTATCCAGAGGAGATTATCCAAGGCGCCTATGCAATGTCATATAGTGACGTCATTTACAAAAGATTACAGGGCTACAACTCAATGGGCTATAAGGAATGTTGTACAGCTTACTTCAAAATGACAAGGTCAAGCAGATGCTATATACGTATACGCCAATCAATTATTTTACAGCATTTGTGTGAAAATTGTGTATTGTATTTGAATACATCTCATTATTTAACCAGGCCTAGAACTCGGGCATCAAAGTTAAGCACATCCTTGTAAAGTATTTGAGCTTGGCTTCAAGCTTTACCATGTGACAGAAATACAACGTAATGATTGGTTAATCATGAATTTAAAAATTCATTGACATTGTGAATACGAGAATGATCTCCACCTGACTACTCATGCAGACTATTATATACTAGCTTCCAGGGTCTTTTCAGTGAAGAAGAAGAACGTTTTTCCATCTTTTCAAGTAGTTTTATTCATTGAACGATGACAGTTTACTATCCGAGAACACTAGTTACATTGGAACCCCACATTTGAGATATTTAATTATTAACCATGTTGGCTTGAATTGTATATATAAGCAAGAGTGTAGTAGACTATATCAGTGGCATAGGAACCAGAGGAGGCTTTGGGGGTGCCACTTAATATTTGGTCAACATTGTTCTCGAAAAGCAGCAAGTTACTAATTTACCGGATTCCTCGAATAATCTCCCCCACCAACCTTCGCTGCTTCAGAGCGCTCTTTTCCTTGTGCAAACAATATCGCTCCACGACCTGGAACAGTCTAGAATGTCCCATATTATAATGGAATTTGCAAATAACCAGAAATTCCCAAGAAAGATGCCTCACTGGGACTTCGTATAATCGTATGGGACAAAGTTTTGTCAGTTATGTTTCCAGCATTTACAGGGCCTTATCGTTCTCTTTATCGGTTGTGCAAATAAATACAGTCGAATATCTATTATAGCGGACACTGTCAGACTTCGTAGATGTGTCCACCTTCTACTTAATAAGGGTTAGGACATGGAGCATTATATTAATATTGGGACCAGATCTCGCTGAACGGGACACCTAAATTAATTAAGCGGATAGGTGTCCGTTATAGCGGTCCGTCTGTACCTAACAAATCATTCATGGGAAATGCAATGCCACTTAATTCGTCAAATTTCATGTGTTTTAAATGCATTACATGTTTTCAACCAGCTTAGAGAGAGGAATGCTTTTAATACAGTGGATCACCCAGTCCCTAAAACAATTACAGGAATTTGGGGCATGCATATATCTGTTACATACATGCAGTAGTTATGTTTGAAAATGCCTGGTATTATAATGCTACTTGCTCACCTTAACCTTCTATTTCACACCAAATGTAGCTCCATGTATTCATACAAAGTTTGCCAGTCTTAATTTCCCTAAAGCCTCTCAACGCTATAGGCGATATAAGTTTTCCAAGTCACTGTTATGCACCAGCTAGATTGATATACACACAGTTTGTATAATGAAAAAGCTAAATAGAATGCCAAATTTGTTGAGCATCGCTTACACAGGTCCTTGTCAAGTAATCCTATTGTTAAAGCCGCCCCCTTAATCTCTCCGAATTAATATTCCAAATTAAAAAAAAATTTAAAATTTCACAAGTTTGACGTGATCTACGCGTGCCTCCTTTCAAAATCAAATTATCACTCGCCATGCCAATCTTACATGTGTTGCCTCACGTTTTTCAAACCAACCATCACGGGCTGATAGGATGGCGTTTGATTTACTTACAGTGATAATTTATTCTCATATTTGCAATCCTCTATCGACAAAATCAATATTTTGGTTTTTATGAAAATTAGAGAAGGCTCAAAATTAATCCTCGTCCTATTTTTATTAAATGTAAATCGCATTTTGCAATCGTTGTTTGTGTACAGAGCCGCAGAGACGATGTCAGGAGGCGATGATGACATTCCTTAAGCCTGGTTTAAATTATCAAAGTTCAGTCTGTGGACTGTGATCAGTGGCATAGCCAGTCCGACGATTGGTCCCGCTATGCAAATTTCAACTCATCATTACATTGATATCAAAGGAACTAGATTCTGTTCTGAAATATCACATACTCGAACCGACCTGACCGCGTAGTTCAGTTGGCAGAGCATTGGGCTAGCATTCCAAAGGTCGTAGGTTCAATTCCCACCGTGGCCACTGGCCAGCTATATTTTTCAAGCTTGCCCGGTGTGGATATACACTCAGAGTAACATCACAAGCATCATATTCACCTGAGTACATTACACCAACACAGAAAAAAAAACATCATTATTCATTTCTTCAGACTGAATTGATTGTGTTGATACTTTATAAACATGGCAATATTCGTATAGCCGGACCGAATCGTCGGGCTGGCTAATGCCACTGGCAGTGGCACTGACTGTGAGTGATGTGATCACAGTAAGCCGGTGCAGCCTTTAGACCGTACGTTGTAATTCGTTGTAATTACGTAATTCACTTTCCATAAACAAGATTAGTGAATGTCCAAGTTAGTGAATGTCTCAAAAATATTTTAAAGTGGAATGGGCAATTAAAAACAGAGACGTGAAAAACTAGTTTCATTTTATTGTTACACTGCGTACAACGAAAAATTATTGTTTCAAGCAGGATTTGAACTCGCATTATATCTTTGGCTTAGACCGATCTACCCATTGGGTTATCGAGTCAACGGGGATTGGTAGCGAGTCTTATCCAATTTAGGAGCAATTTAATTGTACAGATGTTTTTGAAACTTATCGATGAGCTTACATTATATTGATTCTTTCATCTGAATAAGCCTATAGCCTCGTCTCTATGCTTACCAATTAAGAGTCCTGTTGACGAGGTAGAATTTGTAGAAAGGTTATTCACATTGTAAAAAGAGTTACAGTTTTAATGGACAGCCGGTCATTATGAGAGGTAACTCATGGAGGAAAATATTTATCATTTTTCATCAAAGTGAAAGTGAAGCCAAAGGTGGAAGATGTTGGATGTCCGTTTTAATATTTGATGAAAACGGATTGAAATGAACCAAAACGACCGCATTGAGTGCTTAAACCAGCGTTAAAAACATCCACTTATACTTGGCTTCACTTTCAGTAATAAGGATACTACTCTAGTTGTGTATTGGGCTCACTGGTTTGGATACCAGATTACCACATGCCAATGGCTTACACACGTAAAAACACACAGGTTGTTTAGTTGTTACAGGTCTGCAAACAAGTTGTTACACATCTGTTCACAAGCTGTCGACAAGTTGTGTTTGCATCATTTGTTCCCAGTTGTTGTAACAAGTTTGGAACAAGCTGTTAACAACTTGTAACAAGCTTTATGGCATTATCAGACTTGTTACAAGGTTGTTCTAACAAGTCTGATACAGTCATGATATAACAAGAATGTTACAAGGTTGTCGCCAAAAAATTTTCGGTCAGTGTACCATTTTAGGGGTCAAAAACATTTGCCGGACATACCAAAATTTTTCGGAACTTCACACAAATTTTCAAAAAAACACAAAATTTACAACAAAATTGACTGAATTTTCGACTAAATTGACAGAATTTGTCCCAATTATTTTTATTACAAACCAAAATCGCCCGACTGTTGATCGAATATTGCCCGACTGCCCAAAAAACTGGGGGGGGGGCTACCGCCCCCCCCCCGCCCGGTACGCCTATGAGCAAGGTTGTTACAAGTTGTTAACAGCTTGTTCCATACTTGCTGACAACTTGGGACAAGCAGTGCGAACACAACTTGTTGACGGCTTGTTGGCAGACTTGCTACAAGATGCGAGATTTTTACGCGTGTACTACAAGAATTTTAGAATATGTGCCATGAAAAAATATTTTTAAAACTAATAGAACTTTCCATTGTTATTGATTCTATCATAATTTATGGTTAGTAAATTGCAATTTGGCGTTTAGGTTCAAAAAATAATAACAAGTCGTTTTTTATGCCAAAATGAATTTTTCCCTTTGTTCGAGACTACTACCATGCAATACAAATATTTTTTCTTTGTGGTCATAAAAAGGTCAGTAATCCTCAGTCAGTAATCCTCTTTAGCCACGACCGTCGACCATGCGCCATTCCACGCCACCGCACAGTTTTGACAAGTTAAATAGTTAATTTCCTTTTTCTGTTGGTTTTTAAGACGTATTGAAGTGGTTTAAGTTCTTACAATTTTAATTTGCGTGTTTTGTTATATATGCATGTGCATGATAGTCAGCACATATCAAGTTAATAATTATTGGATAAGGTTGAACGTGATATCGAAAATTATCACGGCCGATCGGTTGTGTTATCTGCCGAAGCCGTAGACTGAGGCAGATAACACAAACCGAGACCTTGATGATTTTCAATATTACGCGAAAACCGAATTAATTCAATAATTATTCAATTAATTCAACAAGATTGTTTTAATTTACTGCAATAGTTTTACAACTTCAGAAAAGAATCTTTTTCTCTTGAGGTTCGCTTATCTTTTTCTCTTCAAGACACTCGTTTTAATTCTTACATGTAATGATGTCTTAGTACGTTTGTAGCTCGTTTAGTATTTTCCGCTTCATTTTAGTTTTTGTACATCGCTTTCAGTTACCGAGACAAATCTTGCCATGGCTCAATATTTTCTGCATGTAAAGAAGTTGGCTTCAAATCCATTTATTGTTCAATCTATATTTCTATACTTTTACATAAATTACATCATTATGGCATCCGTGGAGCGATCAACAACTGGTTTAGATCTTATACCTAACTGACAGAATACAGACAACCCAAATTAGCCATTCCGAAAATTGATGAGTGGACTGGGGAGGAGTGTTAAAAAGTGGCCAAATTAAGAAATGAACCAAATCACTAAAAAGACCACCTCAAAATTAGTAAGTATACAAAGTTTGAAGACGTTTACATGAATATTCTTCGAATAATAAGCTTTCGAAAATCCGATATTTACTATGAAATGTATTGCGCGCCCCAAAAACAATCTTTTAATGTCAGCCAGATTTCATAATTTTCGAAAGCTTATTATTCGAAGGTTATTCATGTAAACGTCTTCAAACTTTGTATACTTACTAATTTTGAGGTGGTATTTTTAGTGATTTAGTTCATTTCTTAATTTGGGCACTTTTTAACACTCGTCCCCAGTCCACTCATCAACTTCGGAATGGCAAATTGGTGCTGTCATATCATCAAAACATACAGTTAACTTGGGTGTTCCACAAAGTTCAATCCTTTGTTCAGTTTACTTGTTTGCTGATGATACGATAAAAAAATAAAATCTCTAGAAACGATTATCAACAGAGAATTGATAGGAGTTTGGGGACCGGCTAAACGGAGAGTTATGAAGTGGAGAGTTATCTCGGAGAGTTATGATTTCGGAGAGTTATGATTTCGGAGAGTTATGTTCGAACCACGCCCAAACCACGCCCACTTTTCCCAACGACACACCAAATTTCTTAACTCTCTCGACGTTTCCTTGAACTAACATGACCCGGAGAGTTATGTTTGACGTAACTCTCTCTCGTTAACATTATGAAGATGTTAGAGAGTTATTTTTTATAACTCTCCGCAATGAAGAGAGTTATGTCAGTTGAAAACAACTTCCACATATTAGTAAATTTTTGTAAATTTACTTTTTTCTCAAGTGTCAGCTTTATCAGTTCACGCTAGTAGAAACTAATAGTACTTTACTAACTTTAGTACTTACCAAGTTCATCTATATGTAAATGTTTATATACTGCTCACTTGGATTATCTAGCAAGACCAGCATTCAGATACAGCTCTCGTATTAGATAGAACCAGAAAACGTTTCCAACGTAATCCCCTATTGGCTAATCTGGGAAAGTATTTCCAAAACCTGAATTGCTGAAAGATTCAATTTATTAATTTTATTGCAACTTTGCTTACCGTATATATACTGCCAAATACACGTCAAAGGGGGTACTTTGACCCTTCTGATGCAAGCATCTCATTGTTTTGACCGAGTCAATTTGTACTATTTCCTGTTTTGAAGCACGCTATTGACACGCTACAAACTGAAATACCAAAATATGATATGAAAATCTGAAGAAACAAGCTTTACTAAAGTTTTCTCAAAAAACTGACTTAACTCTATTCATTGCCATAATCGTGAACGTGGAGAGTTATAAAAAATGATAACTCTCTAACATCTTCATAATATTAACGAGAGAGAGTTACGTCAAACATAACTCTCTCATGTTTTAGTTCAAGGAAACGTTGGGAGAGTTAAGAAATTGGGTGTGGTTGTTGGGGAAAGTGGGCGTGGTTTGAACATAACACTCCGAAATCATAACTCTCCGAGATAACTCTCCGGTTGGTAACTCTCCATTTAGTCATGCCCAGGAGTTTGTGAATGGCTAAACACAAATAAGTTAACCCTCAATTCAAAGAAATCCAACTATGTTATCATTCATCCTCACCAAAAAAGCTCGATTATCAAGTTAAATTAAAATTGTTTGACAATCATTCCAATAACTTGATTAATACTGAATGTAAAGAATTTATAAAATATTTAGGTGTTATTGAGTAGATGGTAATCTCACATAGAAATACCACATTGTCATTGACAACATTGCATCTAAAATAAGTAAAACAATTGGCATAATTACAAGGTTTGGATATTTTGTACCTCTGTCTACCTCTATATAACATATGCTATAACTGTTTACTCAAAACTAACTACAACAATCACATCCTAGCTTTGTAAAATCAGGTGTTAAAATTTGGAATAGTATTCCCACTCATCAGTTCGAGAGTTGGGTAGAAAATATTTCAATTTAATTAATTAACCATATTTGAGATTGAGGACGATTATGTTGATGTGCCCACATTAAATATATGAGTAAGCATGGAAAATAGTGCTTCCTTCGAAATTAATAGGAAATTAATAGGAAATTAATGCTTCCTTGTGATAATGATGTTTTGTGCTGTCAGTATATTGGGCTACTTTGTACACAGTTTGTACAAACAGGAATAATTTCTTATTATAACAGAGCACATCTTATTTAATTTACTATCCGCCTCGATCAGTTTCCGCTATTAGCGGATAGTATTGTATATACAGATTGTTTATATATTTATTAATAAAATTTGATTTGATTCAGTTGATTTGATTTTCAGTCATGGTGCTCAGAGGCGGCAGCCGCCATATGTATATGCGCAACACTTGTAGAGTTTCTCCTAAATCCCTATTTCTCTAACTCTTGTATACATAGAAATAATAGATTACCCATACACCGTACATTTGCATCGCATGAACTTATGATTATATACATGAACTTGTAGTTAGAGCTCGACAACTGTCTCTGTCAGCTCAAGTTGGTTAAGTTGGTTAGAGCGCTGCATCGGAACCGCAAGTTCGATTCCTGCCAGAGGGCTCTCTCCTCCGCAGAGGTTTCAATGAGCTTTACATGGCGCTTACCGTATCGAACCGCTGTGGGGAAGAGAGAGGCCAGAAGGCCTATATAGACTCATTGCACTGACGTCACAAATCCTTAGAGTGTCCTCTAGATGCTCCCTAACAATATCTGTTCGGGTATACAACAACCACATACAGCGCAAAAATTAACCACTTTAATACAAAATTATTATAAACCTTTACAAAATTAGTTTTGTTTACAAAAGTTATATTATGCATAGAATGCTAAATTTGTCTTCCAGATGCATCGTCACCGGCGTTGTGACGTCATGTGCAATGGGTCTATACAACCTATATATATATATATATATACTCTACCCAGCCTAGTCCCAGTCGTTCTGAAGCAAACGCGGATACGCGGATGTGGTATAAGACTGGGACCTAAGTGTGACGTCACAGCTCGCGCTGAAGCGCTCGGCACAGCACACCCAGGCATAAAACTTATAAAACACTTAGAGCAGCGTTCAGCGCGAGAGCCTGGGACTAGGCTGTACTCTACCCTTAGGTTCACTAAATGCATCAAAATTCCGCTCGAAATTTCCATCTACAAATCCCTTAAACCTCGACTACACATTTGATTAGTATAGCTGGTAGTTTATATGTGGTATTTTCAGTGAAATCGTATACGAATTCTCATATGCTGTATGGCTGTACCAAATGAACCAATTTGCATGTGCGTACATTATGTCTCGTCACCTCGTCAGTAATAATCTTAGACATGTCAATGTTCTCCACTGACCTTGACGTTTTGACCGGCCTTGACGTCCTCATCTCCATTACCTCCAGCCACAAGAAATATTTACAAAATCTCAAAGTGTCTGCTCGATAATTGCAAAACCGTCTGGCATATTAAATTCGTACTGATTTTTGATTGCAAATTGCGCACGCAACGACCCCTTTAATCATCGCTTTCCGAAGGGTTAAACTATGTAACAACTATGAACATGGAAAATCGCACGTCTTAAAAATGCGCCTTTCTTGTTAAAGAATGCCAGATACCCATTTCAAAGTATATTCGTTTACACTAATTTGAGCAAAATACACATCTGATACCACCAGATTATATACTAGGTAGGTAAGTAAATGGGGGTGTGCTAATCATCCTTGCTTGCAGCTGGGAGCTAAACTGAATTGCGTGAAGGACGCAGCTCAACCTGATCGAGTCGAAGGCTTACTCTAGTAAGAGCGCCTCTGGCAGCCACCTTATGACTCATGTCTGATCACGGAGCACAGATAGTGTGAAAGGGTCAGTTAGGGGGATAAATCCCAACCCACCCTGTCACCATTGAGTGAATCCATTTACCGAGTCAAATCCGAGTCCGAGTCAAACGCCCGAGTCACGTAAAAAAAAGACGAAATTGATCGAAGAAAATTCACAGTCGAATAGGGTTAGGAGTATGGTTAGGGTTTGGGTACTAAGTCTTTGAACCGACAAAGACAGTTAAACAGTGACTCGGACATTTGACTCGGTTAACTCCGCAGTAATTGAATAGTCACAGTCGAATAGGGTCCTAGTACGTTAGGAGTGGGGTGAGGGTTAGGGTTAGGACTTAGGGTACTAAGCCTAGGGTTAGGGTACTAAGTCATTGAACCACAAATTAAACCACTAAACAGTGACTCGGACATTTGACTCGGGCTCAGATTTGACTCGGTTAACCGACAAACTCTGTCACCATTCCCTGTAGGAGGAAATCGGAGTATCCGGAGAGAACCAACGACTTTCGATGGAGCGTTGACTCTTTTCACATAAGTATCATTAGTCCAATGTGAGGATCGAAAGTAAAAATATTGCACAAATGCTCGCAGCGAATTCACAAAAAAAGTCCCAACAACAATGATTTCAAACTCTAATAGATTTCATTCTAAAATAATACAAGCAGCTCCAACATATAAATTATGAGGATATTTACAATAAGTTAGCGTGGTATGAAAAAGTACATTAAATGTTTTCTTTTAAAGTTTTTGTTAACTTGGGTTACATTGTATATCTCCTTCCCGAGACGTTTTGTTGTTCTCGAGTTCTTTTAATATCAATCTTTCTTGTTCCATAATTTCTACCGGTTTCTTGTACTGAAAGATAGAAAATAGTTTTGAACTACAATCCTGGAAAAAAAAATTAATTACTAGACTTCTTAAATTTTCATACTTTATCCCCATCTCCCCTTATACAATGTTGGTATTTAGGTGACATGTGTTGCAAATCCACTTTAATTGAACCAACATTGTTTGGGTGGGAGGGGGGGGGATCTAAGGTAAATAGTTGCTTTAATTGAAAAATGCTCATATTTTCATCATATGTTTTCAAATTTGGGTTTATTTTTCGAAAAGTCTACAGATATTTTTTCCAAGATTGTAGTTGTGACAGTAATTAATGGGGGAGGGGGGTTGTACAAAGGCCAGATAACACCACCAGGGTGTTGGTGTAGAAAAGAGACTTAGAAAAATATTTCCATGTTTAAAAAGAAGTTGTTAGGAAGATTGCTTTGAACATTTTGTTAACCTACGATTACGCTAACTGGCTTTTATACAACCGGCCCCGAATAGTGGATTTTTTCAAGCTTCCTAAAATTGTCTGTTGATTCATGGCATAACCCAGACTAAACTTTAGTATTCCAGCCTCTCCCCTTGAGAAGTAAAATTGTCTGGCATTAGACAGAGTAAAATAATGAAGTAGGGCACATCAAGGCAGCAGGCACAATGCAACTTGATGGGTTAAGCAGTAACAAGATTTCCCCACAAACACCAATAATAAACTACTGGTTGCAACACACTGCTACCTTAATAATGAGTGTGTTATTTGCATGAGCTATTGAAATAGCTTTATGATCCAGTCGTAGATTATTTCTGACCATATCTGGAATATGATATTTCTTGTAATACCTATAGAAATTAACGTAAATTACTGTACTGTATATGATTTCATGAATGATAAAAAATGAAAGATTCAAAAGATTTATTTTTCAGAAGAGAAAGTAAATTAGAAAAGAGGTTATGAAAAGAATAAATGTTTGAAAATGAGACAGAGCTATATTTTAAGACTGATTTCCATATAGTCATAACTGTCATGACCAAGTTATGGTTCCCTCAATGGTCACCAGTGTGAAACAGCTAGTTGGGATCTTTCTTTTAGTAATATTTCAAATCCGACTACGAGGACTGGACTAGATGTCAAGTCAGCACAATTTGATCAAGTCAGAGGCGAAGCTGAGGACTGAATCGAAATGCGAGGACTTGAAATCTAGTCCAGTCCTCATAGTCGGATTTAAAATGACATCTCATACGAATACATCAAAACTTAAAGTGAGGTGAATTAATTTTGATCCAGTCCTAGGACAGGATCAATAAACTTCACCAGGTATCCAGTATTATCATGTCAGCAAACTAAAGCAATATAATGGTTGGCTAATTTACTCATGAATCATTAAATAATGAGTTTGAGATTTTTATGTACTGTATGGAAATCAGTCTTCAACTGATTAAAGAGTAATATCTCCAATGCAATGCTACTACATTGGCCACATTAATACCTTGATACCAGGCTTTAAGTAAGTGACAGACTTTATTTATAAGAATTGACTATTAATATTGAGTAGTTCACTTTGTGCAGATGTGTCCAAGGTGTTCTGGAACTTCACAGGAAAAAACCCGTACTCATTGATACAAAACAATGCATTACTTTTTATTCTTTGTCCTTATTATAATATGTGTTTTATCCTCATCAACAGTCACTTCGTAAACATCAATGCTGAATGGCAGATTGCGTATTCTCCACTGAAATGACTCCCTGGTATCCTTCCGTACAAATATTGGCTGAAAGTAAAAATAAGTGAAGAACATTCTAGGATTGGATGGGTAGGTGTGCACTAGGGTTGTTATGGTGGACACTAGGGGATAGGTAAGGCAGATGGCCACCACCCAAAAAAAAAAAAATTTTTAAACAATAAGCTTTAAACTTACATTACTTCTACTTTCAACAATGTAGCTAGTTTCCATAGGACTGGGCATCGACACATCTTCACCAATTTCAAATTCCCATTTTTTGTCAGCTCCTAATGTAGTTCTTGATTTCCATTTCCGAACTGACAGAAAAAAGGTTGTTGTAAAAATGATGACAGGTGCTGGTATTGTGATACAATTTCTGACTGGAATTGGTGCATATGTTCCATACATAGATAACTAATAACATTCTTGAAAGTTTGTTTGGCCGAAAATGTGATGGATGAATTGCAGTGATCAATTCTAGCCTGGATACAATCAAAGATGATAATTTATGCAAAATTACATCATAGAATATGATCACATGTGCAGTTCAGCAGACCTATATATTCCATTTTCAAAATATGCCTGCAAGCAGGCAGACAGGCTAATTATAACATTTCCTATAAATATAGAAAGTCAACTTCTCAATTTAATAGAGACAGTGTAATATATTTACCAAGGAGAAGACCAGAATGAACATCATATTCTTCCACGAGTTCCTTGTCAGGAAAGGTGTAGTGGATTTTTCGTCTACCTGTTAATTTATTGCATATTGTAGTCATATAGTGTGTGTACAGGCACAGCACCCAAACTTGTCTTTATTTTTTAAAAGAAGTGTGTTTGTAATTATTTAAGGGCAGTGTGATAAAGTACATAATTAATATTCTATCACAAGTACGTACCATCTTGGACTAAGCTTGTTTTTCGTGCATTTTTCAAGCTCTCTAACCAAATCATTTCTTTTGTTTTGGTCGCCATGACAGTTTGACAGGATACGGCCGGATGCTGGGTCCCTACGGTATACATACCCTACGAATTTTAGTCCTATGTTGCTAAAACCCCATAGAATCTATGTAAACCCCCTAACCTAACCTTACCGTAATCCTAACCATAATCATCACCTTTGTGACGTCACTTCGGGATTATACCATGGAAAGTCACCCACACTCATCCGCTTTTGTTTTGCCATTATTGGTAAAAAACGCCGGGAAAATAAAGGGTCGTTTGGGAAAATTAATTGGTTTTCGTGATTCTATTTTACCATATTAGTCTAATTACAAGAGGTCATGTAGATTGATTCGCCCACCAAATGCGTTGGCATGCACGCAATATTGTACGGTACTTGTATTGTAGTAAAAAAGTCCACTCATCGGCAGTTTTTTATTGTTTTCGATATGTAAATTTTCTAGGAAATAACTGCTTCTAATTGGTCAGAAATCCCACATTGGGCGATTTGACTTCCGGCGTACTCTTCGAGTTGTTTTGTCACGAACAGGAGCGGAATTTAGCACTTATAACACAATGTTTTGTTTTCCCTCCTCGAAGACTCATTTAGACACTGTTCTCTTGCGATTGTAGAAGTAAATCTTGTTCGTAAGTATAAAGTATGGACTTATCTAAGAGGAATCAGTCTTTGAAAGGAGACATTAAAAATGGTCCGGTTCGAAATGGACAAAGCAATATGAAGTGAATAATAATACAACAGATCAAAAGTCATCATTTCGTATCATGTTAGTTGTTTTTATTGGTTTGTTAATGGACTTAATGGCGTTTGCTGTAATATTGCCTTTGTTACCTTCGCTCTTGGATCATTACAGCAAAGATGAAGAGGTCAGTTGAATCATATTTATTATATACGGTATACTCTATTTTGGATTCGTACGTGATATCACATTATCACTATATTGTTTGCTACATATTTAGTGTTATGTAACTTTTTTGAGAACGCTGTTTAACTAATTAACCCTTATCTTTTTTCAGGCAAATATCAAAATATATGGCTTTACCCTATTTTAAGAGCAAATAAAGAACATATTAAAACAAAAGCTATAAACATATCTTGTTGAAATATGATACCCAACTTGATATAAGCGCAAATGATAGCACAATTTCATATCAAGATGGGCCAATAACCTTACCTATATATAGCTTTGGAATTATACATAATTATTCTTATGAAGCACCCATGAGGCACATATGCTTCTGTTTACGGTACTTGCTGATTGACGAATCGTGATGAATAGCACTTACGCAAAAAACAATGGAGATGGACTTCTGTATAGTATTCTGTGCATGAGGCATCGACATTTTTATACTGAGTGCACCCAGCTACATGACCTACATGTATAACCTAGGGCTTAGGGTAACCGCAGATTATTTGAATGGAGACTAGGTGAGCACCGTACTAATCCTGCTGTTTTCATTATATTTCTCTAGGATGGTCTTTACAAATTCTTTCAAACCAATGTAAATAGATTTAGAGATACCTTAAGAATACCAAATACAGAGAGATACAACTTTGTTTTATTTGGAGGTAAGCAAGAAAAATTTTCAGTCTCAGTGATATACAGTGAATAATTCCTGTATTGTGCCTCCCAGTCTTAAACAACCCCTCCTTCCATAGTTCTAGTAAGCCCCTTTCTAATCAACTCCCCCCCTTAATACTTAGCTTTTCTTTTTGGAGGAAGAAATTTATTAGATGCCCCTCTCTAAATTGTACCCCACCCCCTTCAACTAAGAAACATCATGTGTGTTGATTAAATTCATAAATATGCCTGGAATTTCATGTTAATTTACTGTATTCATTTACTATATTCAACCAAATCAATAAGCCCTGCATCTCTATTATACCTGGCCTCCTCTCTAATAAGCTAACCATTGATTTTGATGCAAACACCTTATAAGTATAGAATACTACTTATATTGTCACTTAAGACCCCACCTTTAATTATATATAATGTCATTTTAATTGTCATTTTATTGTTTTGAAGGTTTTGTTGGGTCATTATTTTCATTCCTGCAGTTTATAGCAAGTCCTGTTATAGGAGCATTGTCTGATGTGTATGGGAGAAAGTCTATCATAATTTTATCAATGGCAAGTGTCAAGCTAATACCATATATAATTTGACTGCATGCAGGTCTTTTTTCAGGATTTTTTTTCTGGGTTCATTTTCTCAGAGAAGATTGAATTTACCTAAACAGTTGTGGGGGGCAGCCCCCTCCAGGGGTTTCTAGGGGCCAGAAGCTCCACGTTTTTAGTCTTTACATGCTTTTAGAATGGCTAGAAATTGCATTGATTCTGTGTTGTGAAACAAATTGCAGACGTTATGTTGGTGTTTTCTTACTTTATTGGGTTTTGTATCTTTTTCAAACTTCAGGTTGGTGTAAGTGTGTCCTATGCAATCTGGGCTTGTTCAAGAAATTTCACAATATTTGTCCTAGCAAGAATTATCGGAGGTCTTTGTAAGGGAAATGTGACCATTAGTACAGCTATTGTAACTGATGTGACCAGCACTGTAAACAGAGGGAAAGGAATGGTAAGGTTTACACACTCTTTGAAGATATCTCTTACCATAAATCCACAAATAAGCCCCTGCATTAATCCCCTCCTCATTTTAAAGGAAGAAATGCTTTAACCCCCTTCTTTACTAATTAAAGCCCCCACTCAAATAATCCCTTCCGTATTTTTTATTTATTATTATTAATCTCCTCCTGTTTAACCCCCCCCCCCCTCCCTGCCCCCACCCTTATCCAGAAGCCTCTGAGGATAAGGTTGGTGGCATAAATATAAGCCTGTATTGAACAATTTGAAGAATTAACAGTTTATATATTGCTGAGTGTATTAAGCCACTATAATCATTGTTTAGAATCACGTACAGTGTGATATTTATTGCAAGTTAGTTGTAACTATGGAATATTTAAACATTCTTACTAATTGCAACAGGCTCTCATTGGTGTTGCATATTCAGTTGGTTTCATCGTTGGTCCGGTGATTGGAGCGATATTTTCTAAACAATCAGAATCCTCAAGTGGTACACTATATGTATTGCCTGCAATCTTCACACTGGCTGTGATATCTGCTGATATATTGTTCTTACTGTGTTTTCTGAAAGAAACCTTACCTCAAGATAAGAGGGTAATGAATGAATGAATTTTCTTAAGAAAGATTACAGGCTGGCTTGGGTGGCCTCTGAGGTCATCAGTTTGATTCTCACGTGGCGGACTCAAGACACCTGTATGAAAATCAGTCAACGCGTTACCGAAATTCTTGGGCTTACTTTTGGTACTCTGGTTTCCTCCCATAGGGAATGCTGACCGATTGCGTTGGAGTATATCCCAAACTAACCCTTTTATCGTACTGTAGCTACAGTACGCTCCGTGATCAAACATGAGACATACACACGTAATTGCGTAAAAACGCACAAGTTGTAACAAACCTGCAGCAGACTTGTTGCAATGCTGTTCCAACAACTTGTCAACAGGATGTGTTCACATTGCTTGTTCCCAGCTTGTTGACAAGTTGTCAACGGCTTGTTGACAACTTGCTACAAGGTTGTTGAGTTCAACAGACTTGTTACAAGTTGTTCCAACAAATTGTTATCGTCCTGCAATTCAACAATTTGTCAACAAGTTGTCAGTGACAGTTGTAGCAACTTGATAAAATAACAGCATTGTTACAACTTGTTGACAAGCTTGCTCCAAGCCTGTTGCGAACACATCTTGTTGACAAGTTGGGAGACTTTTACATGTGTAGCTGTCATGATTTGCACGTGATCATGCAGACATAAGACGCAATCTGGGCGCTATAAAAAAGTGTTTTATAGCGCCCTGACACAGTCCAGCTGAGCTGTCATTGCTAACTAGCACACGCGGCACATACTCACGTTAATTAAGCTTCATTGATTAACTTAGTTGGGGTTTTTTCACTTGATTATAGGCCAAGTCCTTGACTTCTGAAATTAAAAATGCAGTGCAGTTCATAAATCCAGTTTCTTTATTTAAATTTGATGCCGTAAATCTTGCAGAAAAATCAGGTAAATTCATTTGAAAATATTGTAAGAAGTGCAAAATAAATATTTTAATTTGTATATGTTTTAAAGTATAGGGTTGTGTGTGAAACCATAGTTAATATATATGACATGGTTTGGCCGAAACCCTTTGTTTTAGGTGATTGTGTATCTTGTGCAGGGTCACGGTTGAAAAATCCTTTGTCTTTCTATTGTTTGACAATAGTCAGTTCAGAAAACTTGGCGAAAGGAATGGGTACCAAATATTTGTTTTATCTACCAGGGCCATATCTTACGGCATATTTTGCAAATAACGAAGTATTACCACCATTTTTCGATGGAAAATGTTTGTGTTACATCGTTTGGTCAATTCTCATTGATTAAAACCAATATGTGCAGGGTCAAACTGACTGTTCAACCTCCATGTTTGTTTATAGCGTAATTTCTTTGAAGTTTGCCGGGTTTCCTAACCAGATCTTATAACAACCATGGTGAAACTGCACTGCAGAAATACTGAAATCGTGTCATTAATTATTTCTGCAGATTTAGGCGAAGTCAAGAGAATTAGTTTGGTCTATTTCCTTTATTTGTTTTTCTTTTCTGGCATGGAGTTCACGCTGACATTTCTTACACACAGTGTATTTAAATACAGCAGGTCTGTATAACATTATTGCTTTCTCACATATATAACTGATCGTGGGACTTTTAAGATCCGTTTACACTGCTGCGGTTTCTAGTGCGATTTTCTTCTAATGGATGCATGTGAACAAGTGGATGAGCTTTGAAAGTTCAGATGATTGCATTCTAATTTCTCAAATCTCATTTCCGCGCTCAAACTAGAGAGATCGAAACATTGAAACTATCTATATATAATGAGTGATTTTGCAAGAAATAAAAACGAAAGGAGGAAGGGTCGATAATGTATGTTTGGAGGAACGCAAGATAACATAAATTTGAATACAAGACCGGCTCGGGATTTCAGACAATTACAGCATAGTATACTACTGTTGACTCTATATATACGGAATTCAGTACGGTAAACCTGTTTTAGTGTTTGATTGGAAAGCAGTCACTCTTTTTCTCACAATGAAAAGAAGAAAACGTTTGCAGTCGTAAGAAAAATTATAACCTTGATATCCACACTCCAATAGGCAATAAAACGAATTTTAAGCCAAGCATTCTAACTTCTCTTGCAGTATGCAACAAGGCAAGATGTTTTTTGTTATGGGAATTATAATGGCCGCTGTACAAGGTATACTATATAATGGAAAATGTGGTAGTTGATTTTAAGTCCAGTTTCGTAGGGTTATAGTGTTTACACCGTCATATCTGTTTTTAGGAGGATATGTGAGAAGAATAGCGCCCGGAGGAGAGAAAAAATTAGCTTCACAGGTAAGCTTTAATCACAATATTTCTTAGAAACTGTATATGAATATAAGCAGATGCCACATATACTGTATAAAATCGATAAAATATTGTTAACTGATTCTTCTCATTATAATTATCTTCATTCACAGGGAATGTTCGCCCTCATACCTGCCATGTTGTTGTTGGGCTCAGCTTCTTCAACGAAACTGTTTTATTGTGGTATTATTCTCTTCGCTTTCGGTATGTAATTTACTTTGTTCATGTGCTCGATGTCCCAAAATACACCCTTACGAAAAACAGATCGCCTTGGCTACAGACCACACATCTGTTCTACAGTACATATCTTCGTTAACGTTTCCATATACTTAATTATAGGCCTTCGCTTTAAAGCCTTTCATTATTTACGGTCGTAATAAATTATAGTTTCGCTTCGTCTGTTTCATCCAATGAGTAACGTAAATATTCCTTCATTGGATGAAACAGAGTGTAGTGAAAACTTTGAGTTAGGCAAAAATGTAAATGATAAAAGGCCCTAAACCCAAGGTTACAATAACGAATGTATGGTCCTGTTGGGTTGTATATAGGCAAGATAATGGACTTTCCAGCGAGATGCATGAATGCAATCTTTGTAATATTTCCCTTCGTGTCAATCTCAGTTTTAATCTCAAAATCCGTCCAATGAAGGTGGGGGTTAGTTTGTTCCACTATCTTCGGGTTTCTTACTGTATTCGGGTGCTCTTTAATTCGTTAACACTGGGTTAAAAAATAAAATACACCAGCAATGATGAGGCTTTTGTGCATAATGTGTTAGTGAGTCTAACATCCATGGCTAGAAAGCAATCCAAACAGAAGAGAGAGCTCTGAGAACACGAATTAAAGAGCACACAAACGCGGAGAGAAAAGACGGTGAATATCATTCTCATTTCCTATGTTTCCAACATTTCTCCCCAGGTGCTGCGACAGTTGTTTCAGCTTTAACAACGATTATTTCAAAATATGGTAAGCTTTTGAACCATTTCACACAAGGAATATTCTCGAGCCATAATTTATGGTAAAACGACTGAGTATCTTATGTTTTCTTAGGTGACGCAACTCAGAAAGGCAAAATAATGGGAATATTTCGATCTCTCGGTGCGCTGGCTCGTGCTACTGGTCCGTTCTTTTCTTGTGCAAGTAAGATTAAATATCTCGTAGATTGATACTAAATGTTCGAAGCTGCACACACACAAACGCGCAGGTTGACATAAGCGTACGGGACTGATGCTTGGGGGGGGGGATTTGCTAAA